GACCGGGTGACAATTGATATCAGCAAAACAACACCCTCAATTGACAAATGGGAACAAAATTCAATTACGAAGAACACTATTTGACAGCACCTCTTGTTTGAGGTGCATCCTAGGTGTCAGATATGATTAAATTGATAGCCGAAAGGGGGGGGGGCTTGCACAAAAATTTAGAACGAACCTATTCAGATCACACTCGCCCCTTACCTTATAAACTATATTAACCCTTTGGAGCCCCAAATAATCCTGATAATTGTATGCAACTGCTATAGCGACATATTCTTTACCTTATCGTGGCCATCAATTTGGTGTTCATTTTTGGATTTCCATAATCTTGGGCTTCCCGGAAAGCTCCCCGCGAGCAGAGTAACTACAGTTCAAATTCAACCCCACAGCAGTCTCATATCCAACGCCACGGCGCCTCGAACATGATATTATTCTGAAGGCACTTCTGATTGGCTCGGATGAAAGTAGAAAACGTGTTCTCAACATAATAGAGGTGTCACTCTCCAGAGACAAAACGAAGACTGAATACGAGTAGGTTAAAAGTGACGCATTTTCGTGACTAACACCAATTTCACATTTCCGTGTCTACGCGCCATCTAACATTCACGGAAATTTGGATACTTTTCTTAAATAGTTACTGCTTCCAATAAATTTGTAATACTTCAAAGGGATTATGGATTCTCAATTAATTGTGTTGGTTTTTAAATTTGTATTATGAGCATTAAAAAAGAGTCTCCTAAATGCTTCGATGTCAAATCCAAAGACTAAATATGTAGATCAAACATTATCTGTCTTACCTGATAGAAATAGAACCATTGAAAACTGCATTTTCACTCTCTTCTCTTGTCACTGGCTCTCCTCGCTACTCTCAAGCGTAGAGGAGGGTTCGTGTAGCTTTCAGCGCGGATCAACCATTGAATATATCATTGGAAATCTTCAGGAGCTTTCTCAATGGGAAAGAAGGCCGTAACTGCTTGTGTTCTTGTTCGTGTGGAGCGAAGATTTTGTACCAGCTATAATGTAAGTAAGAGCACTTAGCAGGGTCGAAGAACTGACGGGGAAGCAGCCTTGATCGAGTAGAAGAATCCTGGGTGAAGAGCGTATTTAGCAGCTGTGGTTGAAGCCCACAACTCAGCTGATAGACATATGGTTCATCGTGCCCACCTGAGGCAGATATGATGCTTACAATGCATGATACAAGGGAGTGCTGGGAGCATTCTCGAAGTCAGAAGGGCGAAGCGATCGTTATGCAGGACGATGTATTATGGTGATACCCATGGCCAACGGAGAACGAACGGCCTCTTTAGTCTTTGGGGTGCTCAATGTCAGGACTCACCACGACCATACAAAATTCAAAAAGCGTCGACCACCATTAATTAATTTTTGAAAACATGGCGATGCCGCCAAGGCCAGAAGTTTGTGCAGCCATAGCGGCTACGCACCCGAGTTCATGCTGATTGATGTACAGTCTAGTCGTAAAATGCCGGTACATGTATTTTACGACTCCCTGGTCTACTCTGTACAACGAAGGGCCGATGCTGAAGCGAATCTTGTTGTTTGATGTTGGGAAAGACACGCGGAGAAGCGTCCTTTGTCCAAGCCATCTTGGTCATTTTTCTCAATCCGCTGGTGGGTGTGGACCAAGATATGCCCGTGAGGTACTGGTGAACAGGAGTCCTGGCATCTACACGAATTTGCGGCGCCTAGCTAACCAATGTTGTCAGTAGAACTCAGTGGTTCCTGATCGCGGCTCAGCACACTCTTTTCTGTTCGGGGTCGCAGGTTTTACGCTGTGAGCGGGGAGTTTCCTGGCCCCAAATGAATCCCTTAGTCATAACCATGATGAGAGGTGACTTGTATGATCTTTGACTGGCCTGAGTCCTTAGCTTGAGTCTACACTTGGAACGCTTGCTGTCTCCTCCGTCCTTTCTTGTTGCACTTGCAGATATGCGCACGGCTGCCAGTTTTTGTTGGTGCGCGCGGGGACGCACGGCCGACCTTGATGTCTTCAAAAAAGGAAAACAGCGGTTTTCCTTGGCCGATTCTCACCATCGATAACTCATTTTCAAGGTCTTAGAATTCTCTATAGGTCTACTGTCCCCGATTTCTAATTTTCTCTTCATTCACTTGTTCGCACGGCTTCGCGTTTGAGTGATTTCACCATCCGATCTCAGCCAAACGAAGGCCAAATCGAAAAATTCGAGACGGTAACCCTCCAAAGACACACCCTCTGGAAACGAATCCACGATGGCCTAATGTCTAAAACCAACGAATACAGCCAAGTTCCATTAAGAAAACACCCCATAATTTCAAGAAACAGCCCCTTTTGCCGTGCGCTGATAGGTCAAATCCAAATGACCGTTATTGACGCTTTGAACCGTCGTAGTGAGCCCTGCATGTTTGATCCCTGGACACCAGAACGTAACGTTTCGCATTCTCGAAGTCAGAAAGGCGAAACGATACCCATGGCCAATGTAGAACGATTCGCCACTTAAGTCTTTGGCGTCCTCAATATTTGATCACTGGACACTAGAACGTATATCAAGATTTTGCGTTAACGGAAATCACATGTATGCCACATGACGGACTGAATATTTCTGGACAGTAATCGGATGCAGTCACCTTGAATAAATGCTAATATCTATATGTCTTAATTTGGTTATCTTGTAGTATAAGGCACGGCCGCACAGTCATTCACTCGGGACATGCTGTGAAGCCTTGTGGGCCTTACAGGATGCTGTGCGTGGAGGGCAATCGCGACTGTACCGGATGTGTGCCCAGATTGAACGGAGCTAGCCATGCGTGAATACAATGGATGTGTTGTCACCAGCTTGCACGAACCAGGAACCAGCATGCAGTACAGTGCAGCGTTCGTCTAGAATAGTATCCTGCGGATGCTACTAATGGAGGCCAACTGATCATTGTGTATTGAAAATCAAACCGTGTTGGATTCGTAAAGTTTTTGTGGTAAAGTGTCATCAATTGGCTGTCTGGCGATGCTCTCAACATCTTGATCAGTATGTGTCATGCGGACACCCCCTCCACCCTCCCATCCTCCTCAATCGACATCTCGATTTTTTTTAGTTGTATTTCTAATATCCACCCAGATGGTATTTTTACCCGTACAAGAGGCTTGAATCAAAAAAACACTCTACTGTTGTTGCCTGCTACAGGTGTTGAACGAATGCATCATTTTGTGTAGACCGTAATATATGTTGATAATCATTTGCGTAAAACCAATGGTTTCATTGAACACCATGTTTTCTCTTGCCTGGCTACGAGAGGAAATGAATCCCAACTCTCCATAACACGCTGCGTCCTGATATTGGTACTCTAACCAGCTTCAATCGACAAAGAGGTATTCAAAGGAAAGTAAGAACCGGAAAAACGCAAACTAACCCAGAACTATGAAAGGAATTCGGGTGGACCCACCCATTACCCACACGAATTCCTTTCACAGATGAAGCTTCAGGAAGCCTCAGCACTTCTTCTAACCCATACCTAACCCGCAGCATTGCACAACAATTTCTATTTCCTGCTCGTACAAGTCAAATAAGGCTGACAAGCTTTCCTTAGAATATACCACAGCCCCACCATGCTAAATGTTAGTGCCTAATGTTAGTCCACTACTGAGATAGGTCCAAGACTCGGGACTTACAAAAAACAACAATTCGGAAGATTTCAAAAACAACAGCCAAAATACTCACAGCTGATTAGTGGTTTTAAAAGGAACCTACGTACATTGAAGCAAAACTCTTTGCCGGGTTATTGGTGTTTACGTTTTGTATGTAGATGTACTGTAATGATTCCTTCAATTTCCGGTGCATGCAAAACAGCGTACATGTACAAAACATACACATATAAAAATTGACATGACAGCGTATACTGCAAACCGCACACAGCCCATATAGCGTATGCCATGCAGCAAACATCAGCGGTACGGCCGAATCGAGAAACAACATTGCAACGAATACAATGCCATAAGCGCGAAGGCCTTTTCCACTTGAAAACTGGTGGTTTGCAACAACACTAGTATGTCAACGATCAGCTCTCCCCAGCAACGAGAACGGCGGTACCTGGTGTACGTAGATTGTACCACACTCCACATCATGATATTGATGTTTACTTATACATGTACTTTAATGATTTCTTCAATTTCCAGTGTGAGGCTGATGTACCTCACGCTGCATCATGGCGCCCACCCTATTTCAAAACTACTAGTACGTCAACGATCAGCTCTCCCCAGCAACGAGAACGGAGGTGTACGTAGATTGTACCACACTCCACATCATGATCCGGACCAAAGAATAGTCCATTGACACCAATTCAGAATTGAAGCTCGTCTGAATGGCTTGCGTTCCTGGTGAGCACAGTGCCTCGTTAATTGCCAGCCAACTGCGGCATTTCGGCTAACACCCCAAATCATGGCTGCTACTAGATATTTATATTTTAGAACACAGGATACTGTGTAAACAGCTTCTTAAACACATGATACATTTTTTACATGATATTTCCCTTGCGAACGCGATAATTCCTGGGTGTGCATATTGTCAGCTAACTCAGATTCTGTTGTCGCGGTCGTATTATTGGTCTTTGGGCTGTCACTCTGCTGAGATTCTTACGGCGAGTATCGTTCTTCCTTTATATTCAAGTTCGCCCAGCGACATGTGGAGGCCTTGTATGCCCCAAACGTGAGTACACACCAGGAGTGTGGATGTGTGTATCTCTACCCCCTTCCACCCCTCTCTTCCCACAAAGGCTAGACTGGGTAAAGCAGAAGGCCTTGACTGTTATTGGACCTGAAGCTGTCATCCACAACCCAATCGTCTGCCGTCATTAGCATGCCCTGTCACATAACTTTAAAAGCAAATATTACTGCAGTACGGTACTACCCTCAGTGTTTTAGGGCCCTCATGCCACCGCAGGAAACGGCCTTCTAGCATTGTGCTTCATAAACGGCTACAAAACTACATTCATCAACAAGGGTGCAGGAGGTTATTGTATTGTCACCAGGCGGTTTCGGCTGTAAACCGGCTATAAACTGTGCTCTTTTTGCTAGAAATTGCACCATAATGGTTTGTGACCCTTGAAAAATGAAAAATCCAAGTGATAGAACAGTGTAAAAGAATGAAGTGGGATAATAAGAGAGAAACGTCTACTTTGCAGATAGCAGTCAAGCCAAACCCTGGGCAACTTTATGATCATTGTGGTGAGAAAATTAAAGCTGGAAAGCTTACTCACGCTATCATGCCATTCACTGCAGCAAGAGAAGCTCATGAGCAACTCTTTCACTCAACTTCTGTAACAGCCTGGAGTTACGAACCTCAGGGTTATATTAATGCAATATTGGTGAAGACAGAGGTACATACATGTGAGAAGGGAGCGTTAAGACAGAAAACGTAATGAATGCGTGCCGCTAAAGTAAAAAAGATGGGGGGGGGGTACTAATTCCGGTGTCAATGTGCTTGTAAAATGTGTCAAAAGTACCGCTTGAACAATTGCAATGCGTAATTTTTAGTTGGTATCTGAGTTGGTTCCGTAAGCAGAACTCTCCGTGAGATCACACGATTTCTTGGTGATGCTGACATACGCTGTGCTTTCGTACATGGGAACATTGGACTGCTTGTTACCTTGCGTTGCTCCTGATAGTTTAGTGCGTTTCGAGACATCATTTGGCACGGTCTCGTACATGGCAATGTCTTGGGTGTTGGCGACAGGGCCATCCGGATGACCTGAATTGCTCTCTACAGCGTTAATACAGTTGAGTGGGTTCTGGCCACCTTCCGTTAGACGCCTGGAAGAGCGATACCTACGCAGGACAACCGCTGCCAATAGGAATCCGCTGACAATAACTGACACTGAAATGCCTATTATGGCTCCACGGCTGAGAAAAGACGACGGTTGAGACGCTTCCATTGAAGTCAGTGTTGGCGTGGATGGTATACTGCGATTGTTATGGTCTCCCTCTGCGGATGCAATTGCTGTGTTTGAGACTCCCCTTGTGATACGGTTTTCACCGGGCGTGAAGGAAGTCCCATTTGAAGATGAATCTATTATGAGGGAAAGATCGAAGGAAGAGTATTTTGTTACGATGAGACTACGAATGCATTATGTTATATTAGAAAATGTGATGCATACAGGTCTGCACTTCGCCTCTTGTGAAGTTTTCAAAACGGATAAATCGTACTAATGTGTACGTGCACTGACGATACAGGGATACATCACTTCCTAAATGTAATGCAAGCACGTTTATCAGGATAAAAAAGGTAGTTAAAAGTTTGTGGCCGCCAATATCAGATTTCCTAAGGCCCTAATCACACTGCGGTCAAAAGTCGCGTTTGCGTCTGCGTTTTCTTCCGTTTTTGACGGTCGCCTAGGAAATGCCATCACGTGACGTTATCACGAGCGCATTGGTTTCCAGACGCACAGCCGCAGCCGCAGACGCAAACCAGGGGGAGGGGAGGGGGGGGTGGTCAAAACTGAATCGCGTGAACCCAGATCGGACTTTCTTTATCGCAGCACTTCCTGCATTGTTTTTGAGTGTTTTCAAGTGATTCTCAAGTGTGCTTTTCAAATCTTCATTTCCATCTAGTTGCGGAGGCCGGCGAGGGTACTTCTACTACATGTACTGATTGATTGATTTTGGAGTCGCGAGACATGGAGGTGATGCGAGCTCGTGGCTGAGGTTGCGCTGACTAGTTGGCGGCGGCTAGCCTAGCTGGACGATGTGCATCAACAACGGAGCTGCCTCCCCAACACAGGCAACGCAACGGCTGCAGTCTTCCCATCTACTCCCATTCCCCAGCACCACTGACAAAGGACATACATGAAGGAGCAGAAACCGAACACTTCTGCATCTCAGGAAATAAATTCAACATCCACGGCCACCTCGAGATCGATTCCCCACATTATTGTATTTTCCCGCGCGCACAGATTTTGACGCAAACGCTGAAAATCACAAGTATAGTGTGATATGAAGTCTTGCGTTTTCCAATCTCAAACGCCAACGCAGACGCAAACGCGGTTCAAACAAACGCAGTGTGATAACGGCCTTAGCAAACAAAACTATTTTGTAGCTCAGTCCTTTTAAGAATTGTTGGACACTGCACACGAAGCAGCACTCGTGCAGTGGCGGTTTCACCTGATTTTTAAAAATCATTAATGATGCGTTGCCCCCCAACAGAGAACATGGATACTATTGTAGGCGTTCAAATTGTCCTGAGACCAAAACTTAATACCTGGACCTTTGTCGGAATTTGTCAAGAACGATTTTGCACTGTTAGTTTGGATCTCGGATGTAGTTTGTAGGATGAGCTGCGTTATGTCCAAGGTCGGTGGAAGTGGTGTGTTTCTTGGCTCTGCTGGCGTATATATGAAAGTTGTATGCCATGTTTGTACAGTGGTCGGCAGAGGTCTGCGTGAAGTGGGTGGCGATGTAGGGGGCTCTTCCTCTGTCGTGTCTGCAGTAACCACATGCAAATGATAGGTAGAAGGACAATGTGAACAAGGTTGCCAGATTGGACACAGAAGGGCAGTCTAGACACCGAGAGATAAAGAGAGTAACCACAATTCTTCAGTGTGATGATGATCGACACCTCTCTGACCAGTTCAATCATACAAGTATTTTTTCTTACGAACACGTAGATCCACGAGCTGCAGAGAGTGAGCAATGTCAAAGACAGAGCTTCGAACATAGCGGACTCAGGGGTGGACGTTCATGTTGGTTGACAACTGAGTGTTATGTCGCAAGGCAATCATCGGACAACTGGTCAGCTGTCTGTAGAAAGCGCAAGTTTATATCTATACACCCAGCCGATCGCGAGCGAATATTTCCGCATTAAACTCCGTTTAGCTTAGCAGAATAAAGATGTATGATTTCCCCACAAGCTGTTCAAATTAATAATGCGTAATTTTGTTCTTACACACAGAAAGTTGGGTGTGGTTCTCGAAAGAGTGCTCAATGCAGCGGGGTGCAGAGCTTCATACAAAAATAATAGAATGGGATACGGAGCTTGGGTGGGCTGTGACTCAGAGTTTCACGCCTGTGGCGATCATCAGACAGCAACTTGCTGACTTGCTGTCTGATGATCGCCACAAGCGTGAAACTCTGAGTCACAGCAAACCCAAGCTCCGTTTCCCATTCTATTCTTTTTGTAATTTTGTTCTTATCTTGGCTAGAGCTAAATCATTGAAAGCGGATTGAACGATTGAACAATTGTGTTTTGATTGAACGATATAATGGGATGGACCTGAGTGTGCAATTCTCGTTGGTCAGTCTGTCTAGAGTTGTTGGATGATGCAGATGCAGAACTCGTGCACTGGCGCTTTCACCTTATTTCTCAAGCCTAGTTCACAGTCGACGCAACGCCGACGGTACGGGACGTAAGGGCTTGTCGGGAGGGCTGGGGTGAGCTGTAAAATCCTGTACGATTCGTACGACACGACATGCGGCAGTCGTTGCGAAGTTCAACGTCGGCGCGAGTCATATAGCCTCGGTCACACTACGGCAAAAATGCTGCGGAAGCGTCATAATCCTGAGCTTTTCCATGGCAACTGACGCAAACGCCGGAAGTTTGAGCGTCAGATGCTAATGCGTCTGACGTGGGGAAATCACCTCCGTTGCCGCTGATGGGAGTGACGCTTGGCGGAAAAACAATGACTTTCAAGTAGTTTCAAGACAGTTGCTTGAGTTGAGCAGTCATTCGACATTCGTCTCTTTGAGGTTTGTTTTGTCCCTCTTTTTTTTCGAGATGAGTCCGTGGACTTACGAGGCCGAGGCTGCTCTGCTCTGAACCTGACGGAAGAGCGAGGCGTTTTCTGAGAAGAAAATGATGTCGAGAAAGGACCAGTTGTTTGAGTGGGTTATCGGCCAACTGGAGCCTGTTGGCTTGTGAGTGTTGTGTTGCCGTCAAGAGCCCCAAAAAGGACAACCAGTATGACGATGTTATGGAGAGACACAGCTGCGATGCGGGCTTTTCTTGCCTGATCCATGACACTACAACTGAAAATGGCCGCAATTCGGAAAGAAACAACAAAAATCGTGCACGCGTGGACCTTTCGTCTTCTTGTAATCAAAAATCAATGGAAAATTTGCAAACTTTGTCCGACAATTGTTTTGTATAATACGCCAAAGGCCGGTTTCCGTGGGAATCCGTGTCGCCATTGAGTTTCCCTGGTGATTTTGTAACGTAGACAAATGCGTCAGGCCGCGGCAGTCATGAGGTGCAAAAACAAAACACTGTGTGACCCCGCGTCTGCGTCAATTGCTGGGGCTTGACGCTGCGTCCAGCTTCAAACTTGCCGTAGTGTGACCGAGGCCTAAGGCACGGTCCGTTACGGGGTGACTTTTGGACGTAATTTCTCGTTTTTCGGGACTTCTATTCAATTATATCTCCTTGAAAGAAGCGGAATCAAGTTCACAATTCCAGTTTTTCATGAAGATCAAAAATTAGCCCTGAAAGTGGTGGCATTCAAATAATAGCTCCAAGAAATAATAGAATAGTTCGTCTATGTTGCTAGAATTCAACTCAAGTCATGCTAGCCATTCTGTGAGTTATCATGGGAACCGCAGTATTCGAAATGCAGAAAATACCTAAGTACGAATCAGGGGTAGTCGGCCCACGACGCCGTCTCCTGTTCACACTCGAATTGCAGCCGTTTTGTACGCTTGCGTCCCCGTCTATGTAACAGATTCACTGTTACTACTAACACTAGGAATAGGATACACTTATCACCTGCTATTATCACGCTGCTGCTGTTAGGTGTTATGTCCATCATTGCTTGTTCATGTATATAAGAATGCATTATGGCAAGGATCATTGCTTATTCCAAGAATGACTACTGAAGTTAGTTGGACTGTTACAGTCTAAGCCCGTCTATGGTATGAAAAGTTGGATGGTACGCTTTCCAACGGGCAAAGAGAGTTGGAAAGCTTGTGTCTTTCTGGGTACCTTGAACATTTGGGCTTTTGCAAAATCGCACCGATTTTTGGATTTCCCCACAACGTTTTGCTTCAACAAAAATGTTGTGCTGGACAGCATTCCTGTCACTTCGCAGTGGCTTTTCGTTGGTGCAGTTTGTATTGCCGAAGTGGCACAGTTTGGTGGGCGTGAATGCCTTCGGGCAATGAGTTAGAGAGAGAGAGAATTACTGCCGCAGTGGCACAGTTTGGTGGGTGTGAATTCCTTCGGGCAATGAGTGAGAGAGAGAGCTAATGCCGCAGTGGCACCGAGATATTGCCGAAGTGGCACAGTTTGGTGTGTGTGAATGCCTTCGGGCAATGAGATAGAGAGAACTAATGCCGCAGTGGCACAGTTTGGTGGGTGTGAATGCCTTTGGGCAATGAGAGAGAGAGAGAGAGAGAGAGAGCTAATGCCGTAGTGACACAGTTGGTGGGTGTGACCGCCTTCGGGCAATCAGTAAAAGAGACAGAGAGAGCTAATGCTGCAGTGGCACAGGTTGGTCTGTGTGAATGCCTTCAGGTAATGAGGGAGAGAGAGAGAGAAAGAGATAGAAAGATAGATAGATAGATAGAGAGAGAGAGAGAGGAAGAGGGAGCTGATGCTGCAGTTTCGTGGGTGTAAATGCCTTCGGGCAACGAGTGAGAGAAATATTGCCAAAGTGGCACAGTTTTGATGGGTGTGAGTACTGTCGGGGAATTGGTGAGAAATACAGTACAGTACCTCTTTGGCCTGCAATTTTGTGTTGTGTTTGTGCTTCGCTTCTGTGACTTGTATGTTTCCACAGGTGGAGGCGTTGGGCACAGAAGTGACATATCTCGTCTTAACCTTGCTCTTAGTTTTGTGGCTATCGCAGTGGTCTTAAGCGCACGAAGAATGCCTGGGTTCATGGGGCCATTTGGTACCTACCGAGTCGATGCCCTGACTGTACTGTATGGACTGTGGTCGACATACAGACGTTTTGGCATGATCACATCAGCAGGTGGGCCAGCCATTGTAAGGCGAGACACATGCTTGGCATTCACCATGGCCTTTACGTCTCTATGACGTATACCAGGGCCGAGAGCTGTTTTCTTTAGATGTTGCGCGAGTAGGATGTTGACGAGAGTGTTGTTCAGGAACATAGATAGTGCAGTCTGCCTTACTGGACGAATCCAAAGCTCTTATTGGCAAACATTGGGAATCTATACAAGCGCTATGCAGCCGAATCGGATGACACAATTTGACAGGTAACACAGAGTATATGGCAAGGCATGTACGCAGGGCTATCCTTTTCTGTCACCAGTGCGGAGCCACCGTGCTCACAGCAGAGACTTCTGTGTGTGTTATTGTTGTGAAAGTGGACCACAAAGACCGATCCAACTCTTCCCGTCGCTTCCCGATCTGTACGGTAGTACGGTTGCGTTCCCGTTTCTGGTGTTCACATTGGACGCCGTCAGACCGTCCCGTCGCTTCCCGTCGATCCTTACTTTGCGTCCCGTCGCGCCCCTTCGAATGTGAACTAGGCTTTAAATACTTTGCTGTCCCCCACTAGACCAACCGGTATAATATAAAATTAAAATATATATTATATACCAGTTAATATCCTACAGCACCACCACAAAAAGATGTAACCTGTGCACAGCTGAGAAAACATGGATTCTCCTTGGCGACGAGACCATGCTCAACAAGAGAAGCGAAGTCATCGCTAAATGCCACCACGCTAACAAGTATGGCCTAGCCAACTTCACCGGGGTCACATAACAAGCAAGGAAAGCACGCTGCACTCCGGCCAACGGACGTGACAACCCACCTCACTTGCAACGGACACTTCCATCAAAATTGCGTGAATACGACTGTCACTTTATACAAAGCCCACACTCACAAGCTTGCCACTTGAAAAGCATACTGACAAATGCGCTGCTTTCTAGCACTTGTCTTTCTAACTAAGTTTCTTTGCGCCTGACACTTTGTGCGTGACACTTTGCGCTTGACATTTTTGTGTCCGCGCTTGTTGCGTGATGGGTATGTCTAGCATTGTTTTTGCATGCCCAGTCTTAGTTGTTTGTTGCCTGATGATTGATTGTTCAAGAAACGTTGAATAGCAACAGAAAGAATGTGTACTTGGTGAGGACTATACTGGATTGTGTATACCAGTTAATATAATGATTGCGATCAATTTAGCCAGTGATTCTGAGTTCCGCTGATGGGACCAAACATGGACAGCTAGCTGAGTATCCGGCCATTGACTGTGGAAATAACTGTATTTTCTAGGCCACCTATTCTCAATTCAGCAGCTAGCATTGAAGGAACAACGTCTCCAAGCACGCAGGAACTCATTATTGGAGCTCGTTAATTTCCGCCCACTTGATTTTCACACCTGCCTGACTCACGACTGCCATCCACAGCGCGAGAGAAGAACATGGAACCATCGACTAGGAAAACCTGAAAGAATGCACCACTCTCTGCTCAATACACAAGGTTTTGGGGACTTCACCCCTCCTTAACTAGAGCTTGAATAGGCTGAGGATACTAAAATACATTTTTAATGATTGTATTCTTCATCATGAGCACTTACTTACATTCCATGAAAATACGCATAATCGGGTGATTGAGACGGTCTAGACTGGTGCGGCAAGCTGACACTCTACCATTCCTCTCCGCTGGTCTGATAAAGACTGTTACTCGAGAAGGATTTGGACACTGATGTCTTCCATCATATGGCAGTTCACCCAGGTCAACCCATATCATACAACTTCGTACTCCGATACAGGAATGTACACTGTGAACAGAACGGGTGAACGCTCCTCGCTTTAGTCTAGCCTCTATTTGACAGGTTGATCCTCCGCTAATGAAGATGTTCGCATACCGTACTACCATGTTGCATTGTGAGTCTGGCAAAAAGGTTGCAGAGATCGCCTGTCCCTGCCCAACCTTCCGCCATTGAGAGTGCCGTGTGTTAGGTGCGGTGGAGTACAAGACTCCAGCAGTATCGAGAGAGATGGCCTGCTTCTGGTAGATGTCCCTCATTAAACATTGCCTTCGGTAGCAAGTTTGCTGACCAGAGACCATGAAGCTTAACCCTTTAACAAAGACAGTAAAAACATCATTGATTTTTGGGTTTGGACTCAGATGGAGAGCAAAGGTTTAAATTTTACAAAAGAGAAAGACCAAGGAACTTCAAGTTCCGCTATACTGTCCACTAACGCCACCAGTTACTAAACAGTCAGCCCATGCGATAACATTGCACGACACTGACCGACGGTAATGAAGTTCTACAACTAACTGGCTAACAGCTCTAGCACATCTTGGATGCGCACTCCAACAGCCTTCCAACTGTGAAGGTTCTAAGTTAAAGAAATAACATAAGGAGGGGAAGTTGAGCGCAACCAAGATAAGCACAAGCTGAAAGTCTCAGCTGTCAAGGCCATTGGCGGATGTTCATGCATGTCGATGACGATACTGGCAAGACCATTGGGCAATACGGTCAAACCACGATTCCCGAACGCAAAGCAACATTCTTATGATATTTCTATAACTTAGAACCTTTCAAGTTTGAAGGCTGTTGGAGTGCGCATCCAAGATGTGCTTGAGCTGTTAGCCTGTTAGTTGTAGAACGTCAGTACCGTCGGTCAGTGTCGTGCAATGTTATCGCATGAGCTGATTGTTTAGTAACTGGTGGTGTAAGTGGACAGTATAGCGTTACTTGTAGTTCCTTGGTCTTTCTCTTTTGTATAGATTTTTGGGTTGACGGATAAATCACCACACCGTTTCCGTTCTTCAGAAACTGCATTTGATGACCATTTCCTTACAGTATGCGGAAAAAGCTCAGCGGCATGGTGGTGATTTCCACTTAAATAGTTGCGAGGAGTCCCTGTTAACTCTGCTCACGGAGGGTGCCAAAGGTCAGTCAATGTTTTCGGACCATTTCGTTTTGGACCCTATATTCACTGTATCCGGACATTGTGCAATTCATTTAGATGTTAAGGGTGAGTGGGTGAGTGGGTGTATGTGGGGGGGGGGGGGGGAGGGGATCGTAGAGATCGACTACCTATTCTGGTGTATCAACTTGTATCCAGCTGAATGATGATGTTTTACCCAATACATATTGGCCCAGGTAGGAAAAACCCAATGACGCATATATGTGAATTGTGACACAAAAATGGAGGCACAATAGAGCTGTTCTCAATGCTGCATGCACCACTGTCGCAAGCGTACATGTATAGTTAATCACAAGCCGAACGATAGGTAATTGTACACAAAAATATTTCACTATAAAGTACGTGTCACAAATACTTTCGAGTAAAGTAAAAGTAAATTATCGTGTCCGTTCCCGAAGGTAACTCAAGACTTTCGACTGGTCACAAGCAGAGACCGGGTGACAATTGATATCAGCAAAACAACACCCTCAATTGACAAATGGGAACAAAATTCAATTACGAAGAACACTATTTGACAGCACCTCTTGTTTGAGGTGCATCCTAGGTGTCAGATATGATTAAATTGATAGCCGAAAGGGGGGGGGGGGGGCTTGCACAAAAATTTAGAACGAACCTATTCAGATCACACTCGCCCCTTACCTTATAAACTATATTAACCCTTTGGAGCCCCAAATAATCCTGATAATTGTATGCAACTGCTATAGCGACATATTCTTTACCTTATCGTGGCCATCAATTTGGTGTTCATTTTTGGATTTCCATAATCTTGGGCTTCCCGGAAAGCTCCCCGCGAGCAGAGTAACTACAGTTCAAATTCAACCCCACAGCAGTCTCATATCCAACGCCACGGCGCCTCGAACATGATATTATTCTGAAGGCACTTCTGATTGGCTCGGATGAAAGTAGAAAACGTGTTCTCAAGATAATAGAGGTGTCACTCTCCAGAGACAAAACGAAGACTGAATACGAGTAGGTTAAAAGTGACGCATTTTCGTGACTAACACCAATTTCACATTTCCGTGTCTACGCGCCATCTAACATTCACGGAAATTTGGATACTTTTCTTAAATAGTTACTGCTTCCAATAAATTTGTAATACTTCAAAGGGATTATGGATTCTCAATTAATTGTGTTGGTTTTTAAATTTGTATTATGAGCATTAAAAAAGAGTCTCCTAAATGCTTCGATGTCAAATCCAATGACTAAATATGTAGATCAAACATTATCTGTCTTACCTGATAGAAATAGAACCATTGAAAACTGCATTTTCACTCTCTTCTCTTGTCACTGGCTCTCCTCGCTAGTCTCAGGCGTAGAGGAGGGTTCGTGTAGCTTTCAGCGCGGATCAACCATTGAATATATCATTGGAAATCTTCAGGAGCTTTCTCAATGGGAAAGAAGGCCGTAACTGCTTGTGTTCTTGTTCGTGTGGAGCGAAGATTTTGTACCAGCTATAATGTAAGTAAGAGCACTTAGCAGGGTCGAAGAACTGACGGGGAAGCAGCCTTGATCGAGTAGAAGAATCCTGGGTGAAGAGCGTATTTAGCAGCTGTGGTTGAAGCCCACAACTCAGCTGATAGACATATGGTTCATCGTGCCCACCTGAGGCAGATATGATGCTTACAATGCATGATATAAGGGAGTGCTGGGAGCATTCTCGAAGTCAGAAGGGCGAAGCGATCGTTATGCAGGACGATGTATTATGGTGATACCCATGGCCAACGGAGAACGAACGGCCTCTTTAGTCTTTGGGGTGCTCAATGTCAGGACTCACCACGACCATACAAAATTCAAAAAGCGTCGACCACCATTAATTAATTTTTGAAAACATGGCGATGCCGCCAAGGCCAGAAGTTTGTGCAGCCATAGCGGCTACGCACCCGAGTTCATGCTGATTGATGTACAGTCTAGTCGTAAAATGCCGGTACATGTATTTTACGACTCCCTGGTCTACTCTGTACAACGAAGGGCCGATGCTGAAGCGAATCTTGTTGTTTGATGTTGGGAAAGACACGCGGAGAAGCGTCCTTTGTCCAAGCCATCTTGGTCATTTTTCTCAATCCGCTGGTGGGTGTGGACCAAGATATGCCCGTGAGGTACTGGTGAACAGGAGTCCTGGCATCTACACGAATTTGCGGCGCCTAGCTAACCAATGTTGTCAGTAGAACTCAGCGGTTCCTGATCGCGGCTCAGCACACTCTTTTCTGTTCGTGGTCGCAGGTTTCACGCTGTGAGCGGGGAGTTTCCTGGCCCCAAATGAATCCCTTAGTCATAACCATGATGAGAGGTGACTTGTATGATCTTTGACTGGCCTGAGTCCTTAGCTTGAGTCTACACTTGGAACGCTTGCTGTCTCCTCCGTCCTTTCTTGTTGCACTTGCAGATATGCGCACGGCTGCCAGTTTTTGTTGGTGCGCGCGGGGACGCACCGCCGACCTTGATGTCTTCAAAAAAGTAAAACAGCGGTTCTCCTTGGCCGATTCTCACCATGGTTAACTCATTTTCAAGGTCTTAGAATTCTCTATAGGTCTACTGTCCCCGATTTCTAATTTTCTCTTCATTCACTTGTTCGCACGGCTTCGCGTTTGAGTGATTTCACCATCCGATCTCAGCCAAACGAAGGCCAAATCGAAAAATTCGAGACGGTAACCCTCCAAAGACACACCCTCTGGAAACGAATCCACGATGGCCTAATGTCTAAAACCAACGAATACAGCCAAGTTCCATTCAGAAAACACCCCATAATTTCAAGAAACAGCCCCTTTTGCCGTGCGCTGATAGGTCAAATCCAAATGACCGTTATTGACGCTTTGAACCGTCGTAGTGAGCCCTGCATGTTTGATCCCTGGACACCAGAACGTAACGTTTCGCATTCTCGAAGTCAGAAAGGCGAAACGATACCCATGGCCAATGGAGAACGATTCGCCTCTTAAGTCTTTGGCGTCCTCAATATTTGATCACTGGACACTAGAACGTATATCAAGATTTTGCGTTAACGGAAATCACATGTATGCCACATGACGGACTGAATATTTCTGGACAGTAATCGGATGCAGTCACCTTGATAAAATGCTAATATCTATATGTCTTAATTTGGTAATCTTGTAGTATAAGGCACGGCCGCACAGTCATTCACTGGGGACATGCTGTGAAGCCTTGTGGGCCTTAGAGGATGCTGTGCGTGGAGGGCAATCGCGACTGTACCGGATGTGTGCCCAGATTGAACGGAGCTAGCCATGCGTGAATACAATGGATGTGTTGTCACCAGCTTGCACGAACCAGGAACCAGCATGCAGTACAGACCAGCGTTCGTCTAGACTAATATCCTGCGGATGCTACTAATGGAGGCCAACTGATCATTGTGTATTGAAAATCAAACCGTGTTGGATTCGTAAAGTTTTTGTGGTAAAGTGTCATCAATTGGCGGTCTGGCGATGCTCTCAACATCTTGATCAGTATGTGTCATGCGGACACCCCCTCCACCCTCCCATCCTCCTCAATCGACATCTCGATTTTTTTTTAGTTGTATTTCTAATATCCACCCAGATGGTATTTTTACCCGTACAAGAGGCTTGAATCAAAAAAACACTCTACTGTTGTTGCCTGCTACAGGTGTTGAACGAATGCATCATTTTGTGTAGACCGTAATATATGTTGATAATCAATTGCGTAAAACCAATGGTTTCATTGAACACCATGTTTTCTCTTGCCTGGCTACGAGAGGAAATGAATCCCAACTCTCCATAACACGCTGCGTCCTGATATTGGTACTCTAACCAGCTTCAATCGACAAAGAGGTATTCAAAGGAAAGTAAGAACCGGAAAAACGCAAACTAACCCAGAACTATGAAAGGAATTCGGGTGGACCCACCCATTACCCACACGAATTCCTTTCACAGATGAAGCTTCAGGAAGCCTCAGCACTTCTTCTAACCCATACCTAACCCGCAGCATTGCACAACAATTTCTATTTCCTGCTCGTACAAGTCAAATAAGGCTGACAAGCTTTCCTTAGAATATACCACAGCCCCACCATGCTAAATGTTAGTGCCTAATGTTAGTCCACTACTGAGATAGGTCCAAGACTCGGGACTTACAAAAAACAACAATTCGGAAGATTTCAAAAACAACAGCCAAAATACTCACAGCTGATTAGTGGTTTTAAAAGGAACCTACGTACATTGAAGCAAAACTCTTTGCCGGGTTATTGGTGTTTACGTTTTGTATATAGATGTACTGTAATGATTCCTTCAATTTCCGGTGCATGCAAAACAGCGTACATGCACAAAACATACACATATAAAAATTGACATGACAGCGTATACTGCAAACCGCACACAGCCCATATAGCGTATGCCATGCAGCAAACATCAGCGATACGGCCGAATCGAGAAACAACATTGCAACGAATACAATGCCATAAGCGCGAAGGCCTTTTCCACTTGAAAACTGGTGGTTTGCAACAACACTAGTATGTCAACGATCAGCTCTCCCCAGCAACGAGAACGGCGGTACCTGGTGTACGTAGATTGTACCACACTCCACATCATGATATTGATGTTTACTTATACATGTACTTTAATGATTTCTTCAATTTCCAGTGTGAGGCTGATGTACCTCACGCTGCATCATGGCGCCCACCCTATTTCCAAACTACTAGTACGTAAACGATCAGGTCTCCCCAGCAACGAGAACGGAGGTGTACGTAGATTGTACCACACTCCACATCATGATCAGGACCAAAGAATAGTCCATTGACACCAATTCAGAATTGAAGCTCGTCTGAATGGCTTGCGTTCCTGGTGAGCACAGTGCCTCGTTAATTGCCAGCCAACTGCGGCATTTCGGCTAACACCCCAAATCATGGCTGCTACTAGATATTTATATTTTAGAACACAGGATACTGTGTAAACAGCTTCTTAAACACATGATACATTTTTTACATGATATTTCCCTTGCGAACGCGATAATTCCTGGGTGTGCATATTGTCAGCGAACTCAGATTCTGTTGTCGCGGTCGTATTATTGGTCTTTGGACTGTCACTCTGCTGAGATTCTTACGGCGAGTATCGTTCTTCCTTTATATTCAAGTTCGCCCAGCGACATGTGGAGGCCTTGTATGCCCCAAACGTGAGTACACACCAGGAGTGTGGATGTGTGTATCTCTGCCCCCTTACACCCCTCTCTTCCCACAAAGGCTAGACTGGGTAAAGCAGAAGGCCTTGACTGTTATTGGACCTGAAGCTGTCATCCACAACCCAATCGTCTGCCGTCATTAGCATGCCCTGTCACATAACTTTAAAAGCAAATATTACTGCAGTACGGTACTACCCTCAGTTTTTAGGGCCCTCATGCCACCGCAGGAAACGGCCTTCTAGCATTGTGCTTCATAAACGGCTACAAAACTACATTCATCAACAAGGGTGCAGGAGGTTATTGTATTGTCACCAGGCGGTTTCGGCTGTAAACCGGCTATAAACTGTTCTCTTTTTGCTAGAAATTGCACCATAATGGTTTGTGACCCTTGAAAAATGAAAAATCCAAGTGATAGAACAGTGTAAAAGAATGAATTGGGATAATAAGAGAGAAACGTCTACTTTGCAGATAGCAGTCAAGCCAAACCCTGGGCAACTTTATGATCATTGTGGTGAGAAAATTAAAGCTGGAAAGCTTACTCACGCTATCATGCCATTCACTGCAGCAAGAGAAGCTCATGAGCAACTCTTTCACTCAAATTCTGTAACAGCCTGGAGTTACGAACCTCAGGGTTATATTAATGCAATATTGGTGAAGACAGAGGTACATACATGTGAGAAGGGAGCGTTAAGACAGAAAACGTAATGAATGCGTGCCGCTAAAGTAAAAAAGATGGGGGGGGGTACTAATTCCGGTGTCAATGTGCTTGTAAAATGTGTCAAAAGTACCGCTTGAACAATTGCAATGCGTAATTTTTAGTTGGTATCTGAGTTGGTTCCGTAAGCAGAACTCTCCGTGAGATCACACGATTTCTTGGTGATGCTGACATACGCTGTGCTTTCGTACATGGGAACATTGGACTGCTTGTTACCTTGCGTTGCTCCTGATAGTTTGGTGCGTTTCGAGACATCATTTGGCACGGTCTCGTACATGGCAATGTCTTGGGTGTTGGCGACAGGGCCATCCGGATGACCTGAATTGCTCTCTACAGCGTTAGTACAGTTGAGTGGGTTCTGGCCACCTTCCGTTAGACGCCTGGAAGAGCGATACCTACGCAGGACAACCGCTGCCAATAGGAATCCGCTGACAATAACTGACACTGAAATGCCTATTATGGCTCCACGGCTGAGAAAAGACGACGGTTGAGACGCTTCCATTGAAGTCAGTGTTGGCGTGGATGGTATACTGCGATTGTTATGGTCTCCCTCTGCGGATGCAATTGCTGTGTTTGAGACTCCCCTTGTGATACGGTTTTCACCGGGCGTGAAGGAAGTCCCATTTGAAGATGAATCTATTATGAGGGAAAGATCGAAGGAAGAGTATTTTGTTACGATGAGACTACGAATGCATTATGTTATATTAGAAAATGTGATGCATACAGGTCTGCACTTCGCCTCTTGTGAAGTTTTCAAAACGGATAAATCGTACTAATGTGTACGTGCACTGACGATACAGGGATACATCACTTCCTAAATGTAATGCAAGCACGTTTATCAGGATAAAAAAGGTAGTTAAAAGTTTGTGGCCGCCAATATCAGATTTCCTAAGGCCCTAATCACACTGCGGTCAAAAGTCGCGTTTGCGTCTGCGTTTTCTTCCGTTTTTGACGGTCGCCTAGGAAATGCCATCACGTGACGTTATCACGAGCGCATTGGTTTCCAGACGCACAGCCGCAGCCGCAGACGCAAACCAGGGGGAGGGGAGGGGGGGGGGGGTGGTCAAAACTGAATCGCGTGAACCCAGATCGGACTTTCTTTATCGCAGCACTTCCTGCATTGTTTTTGAGTGTTTTCAAGCGATTCTCAAGTGTGCTTTTCAAATCTTCATTTCCATCTAGTTGCGGAGGCCGGCGAGGGTACTTCTACTACATGTACTGATTGATTGATTTTGGAGTCGCGAGACATGGAGGTGATGCGAGCTCGTGGCTGAGGTTGCGCTGACTAGTTGGCGGCGGCTAGCCTAGCTGGACGATGTGCATCAACAACGGAGCTGCCACCCCAACACAGGCAACGCAACGGCTGCAGTCTTCCCATCGACTCCCATTCCCCAGCACCACTGACAAAGGATATACATGTAGGAGCAGAAACCGAACACTTCTCGATCTCAGGAAAATAAATTCAACATACACGGCCACCTCGAGATCGATTCCCCACATTATTGTATTTTCCCGCGCGCACAGATTTTGACGCAAACGCTGAAAATCACAAGTATAGTGTGATATGAAGTCTTGAGTTTTCCAATCTCAAACGCCAACGCAGACGGAAACGCGACTCAAACAAACGCAGTGTGATAACGGCCTTAGCAAACAAAACTATTTGTCGTTCAGTCATTATAAGAATTGTTGGACAATGCACACGAAGCACTCGTGCAGTGGCGGTTTCACCTGCTTCTTTAAATGATGCTTTGCTACCCAACAGAGAACATGGATACAATTGTAGGCGTTCAAATTGTCTTGAGACCAAAGCTCAATACCTGGACCTTTGTCGGAATTTGTCAAGACCGAATTTGCATTTTTAGTTTGGATCTCGGATGTAATTTGTAGGATGAGCTGCGTAATGTCCAAGGTCGGTAGAAGTGGTGTGTTTCTTGGCTCTGCTGGCGTATATATGAAAGTTGTAGGCCATGGTTGTACAGTGGTCGGCAGAGGTCTGCGTGAAGTGGGTGCCGATGCAGGGTGCTCTTTCTCTGTCGTGTCTGCAGTAACCACATGCAAATGATAGGTAGAAGGAAAATGTGAACAAGGTTGCCAGATGGGACACAGAAGGGCAGTCTAGACACCGAGAGAGCTAGAGAGTAACCACAATTCTTCAGTTTGATGATGATCGAAATCTCTCTGACCAGTTCAATCATACAAGTATTTTTTCTTACAAACACGTTGATCCACGAGCTGCAGAGAGTGAGCAATGTCAAAGACAGAGCTTCGATCATAGCAGGCTTAGGGGTAGACGTTCATGTTGGTTGACAACTGAGTTTTATGTCGCAAAGTAATCATCGGACAACTGGTCAGCTGTCTGTAGAAAGTACAAGACTATATCTATACACCCAGCCGATCACGAGCAAATATTTCCGCATTAACCTCCGTTTAGCTTAGCAGAATAAAGATTTATGGTTTCCCCACAAGCTGTTCAAATTAATAATGCGTAATTTCGTTCTTATCTTTGCTAGAGCTAAAGCAGAGAAAGCGGATAGAACGACATAATGGGATGGACCTGAGTGGTCAATTCTCGTTGTTCAGTCTGTCTATAGCTGTTGGATGATGCAGTTGCAGTACTCGTGCACTGGCGCTTTCACCTTATTTCTTAAATACTTTGCCGTCCCCTACTAGACCAATCGGTATAATATAAAAAACTGCTTTATTGGAGCTCGTGCCTTTTCGCCCACTTCATTTTGACACCTGCCTGACTAACAACTGCCATCCACAGCACACGAGAAGAACATGAAACCTTCGACTCGGCGAACCTGCAAGAATGCACCACTGTCTGCTCAATGCACAGTGTTTTGGGGACTTCACCTCTCCTCAGCTAGAGCTTGAGTAGGCTAAGGATACTAAAATACATTTTTTATGACTATATTCTTCATCATGAGCACCAGTTACTTACATTCCATGAAAATACGTATAATCGGGTCATTGTTACCGTCTACACTGCTATAGCAATTTGAAACTCTACCATTCCTCTTCACTGGTCTGATAAAGATTGTTACTTGAGATGGATTTGGACACTGGTGTCTTGCATTATCTGGCAGTCTATCCAGGCCAACCCATTTCATACAACTTCGTAGTCCGCTACAGGAATGTGCACTGTAAACAGAACGCACGAACATTCCTCGCTTTAGTCTAGCCTCTGCTTGACAGGTTGATCCTGCGCCAATGAAGATATTCGCATACCGGAAAGCCATGTTGCATTGTGATTCTGGCAAAAAGCGTGCAGAGACCGCCTGTCCCCGCCCAACACGTCGCCAATGAGAGTGCTGTGCGAAAGTTGCGGTGAAGTACAAGACTCCAGCAGTGCCGAGAGAGGTGGTCTGCTCCTGGTAGATGTCCCTCATTAAACATTGCCTTCGGTTGCACGTTTGCTGACCAGAGACCATGAAGAACCCTTTAACAGAGACAGTAAAAAACATCAACGATTTTTGGGTTATCGGACAATTCACCACACCGTTTCCGTTCTTCAGAAACTGCATTTGATGACCATTTCCTTACACTGTGTGGACAAAGCTCAGTTGCATGGTGGTGATGTCCGCTTAATTAGTTGCGAGGAGTCCGTGTTACCTCCGCTCACGGAGGGTGCCTAAAGTCAGTCAATGTTTTCGGACCATTTCGTTTTGGACCCTATATTCACTGTATCCGGATATTGTGCAATTCATTTCGATGTTTGGGGTGAGTGGGTGTATGTGTGTGTGTGTAACAGGTAGCCGAGTGGTAGGCGCGGTGCAATTAACACGAGTTATCTTTTATTCTACTTCTCTCAGGTACACACCTGGGATATAATTATAAGTATAAGAAGAAGCGGCAAAATAAATAACTTTCTCTCCGGTGCACACCTAGAGGTTGACTACTTCTTCTTCGAGTTAGCTTTGTCGTTGCTATCTAATCTCAATCAAAACAGAAATGCGCAGCGGCTTTAATGCAGCAGACGCCGTACGCTTACATACAGAGATACACTAAATATACATCAGGCAAAGCTCCGTATTAGTTCCGTACTACTTCCGTATTGGTCGGGCAGGGATACTACACCCTCCCTTCCTACAGATAATCACGCCCTCGTGATTTTCAAAAAAATAGTGAAGAGTTATGAGCACAGCGTCAACCGGAAGATGGCAAATTGTATCGGAAATGATAACGTTTAGAGTAGACAGAAGAAATGAACTGATAATAAATCAAAACATAGAAGTAAAAGCACACCAGGTTCACACGATCTCTCGGGGTCAAAAGGGAAAGAATGGTCCTCCAAACATGACGTGAAAGACAGCCAAATTTCTGCACATCGCGGGCTCAAACTGCCAGGAAATTCACAATTTCTAATAAATGCACTGCATCGTGGGAACTTACTCCAGTACACACCTGGAGTGTAAAAGGGGATTCTCACACACTTCTCCCACCAGGTTACTTAGGTAAACCGTGGCTAACCATGATCAGACGCCTACCAAACTAATGGTGTACTAGCTGTGCTAGTACTTGTTAGCAACAATCCGAACTAGCGCACACACTGCACTGCATTGCTTTGTACTGCATTCAAGACTGACGTCATGCGCTTTGTTTTGCTGCGTAATCACAAATGGCACCAGCCCATTTTGCTGAAAAGAAAAACAAATCTTGCTTGCCCTGTTGTGCTCTTCCAGACAACGGATCGTGCTTCAGCAGTGTTTCTTTTCCTTTCGTAGCTTTGCTGCCAGCCCGAGTGTCACCTCGACACTGTATTTCTTCAGTATGTCTGACCTAACTGTCGACACTGTCAAGGCAATGCCTTGCCAAGCTCTCCGCGGCGAGCTTTCTCAGCGCGGCTTGAATCCGAAAGGAAACTAGTAAAAGTATTTTACAGGACCGTTTGGTGGCACGACTAGCCCTTGGTAGTGAGGTCTGCTCCGGCCAGGAGAACCAGCAACATGACAGTGCGGACACGGCTCGCGAGCCCAGAAGCCCGACTGGCACCAATGCCTCCTCCGCCAGCTCAGGTGACGCGGGCTCAACGGATCTCTGCGCTCTAGTACGGGACGAGGTGTGGTCGGCTTTGTCGGCCGCCATTATATTATTTATATTATCGGAGAACAATATTACATTGTGCCACTCCTCACCCAAAGCCAAGGCAATGCGGCTGCTGCCGCCACTACGCCAGGCCAAGCTCCTGTAACCCACCCGGTCAGCCACCTGCACCAGCTTTGCCCAAGGCTGTGCAAGAGCGTATCTTGCGAGGGGAGTTCGTAGATTTTTCGAGTTTGTTGCCTGAAATTCTTGCACACTTCCGGCCCAATATTCCGACTGGTGCACAGCCCGAATAACGATAGCCAGCTAAATATCGTTGAGTCGGATGACGCGAAGCAGGTGCGTCGCAAGGTTCACGATAAATATACATGTAGCTACCGGGCTCGAGGCATGGTCTGGACCACATACATGTCTGTTATCACGGCTGCTGCCCTACACCGCACTGCTGAACTGCTGAACTGATTGCGTATCAGCAGTTGATCCTGACTGCTAACCGCCAATCGGCGCGGAGCCAATCGGCCACCCCGCCGCTCCTAGCAGAATGGCTACTGAATCGCTTGACTCGGTACGTAGCTTCTTTCCTATACACTCTGCAGACACCACACTGCTAGCTGACCACTTTGCGCGCCAGTTACGTAACCACTCAGATCAATCATGTGTTGCGTATGTTCTCCATGGCCTGCGCCGTGGCTTTACTCTTGGATCTGCCGGCCAACACGACATTTCGGTTTTCTCTAATAATCTGCCCTCGGCTTTCACTCACTCGGCATTTATATCCGAGCAATTAGCTGCTTCCTGCGCCCGCAGCGAGGCCACAGGCCCATTTCCGTCACCTCCATTTCAGTTCATGTGCCGCTCTGGTATTGGTGCCATCCCCAAAAAGAACGGCAAGCTGCGAATGATCCACCATCTGTCTAGTCCGGAAGGCACCGGTGCGAACGACAGCATTCCTGCCGAGCCGCTCTCTCTGCACTATGCAAGCATTGACAACGCGATCAACATCATCAGGTCATGCCCACAGCCTGTGTATTTGTCTAAGCTCGATGTACGCAGTGCATTTCGGCAGATCCCAGTCCGCCGTCAGGACTTCGCTGGGAAGGCTCCTACTACTACGAACGCTTTCTGCCTTTCGGCCTCCGCTCCAGACCAGCCGTATTTGACTCAGTAGCCACAGCAGTCAACTGGATCATGCAGCACGAGTTTGCTATAGATCACCGGCTTCATTACCTCGATGACTTTCTCGATATCTCCACTGGTTTGGCTGCAGCCAACCAGCAACTCACCATCCCCCTCTGGGCATTCACGTATCTCAGCATTCCTCTTTGCTCCATCCCAGCTCGAAGGGCCATCACCACCATTGACCTTCCTTGGTTTTGTCCTAGACTCCGAGCGCCAAGTAGCTCGGCTACCAGAGGACAAGCTGTCCGAGATCCGTGCGCCACTCATGGCTACTATCAGCGAGTGCAGCATCGGCCAGCGTCAACTCGAGTCCCTCCTGGGGAAGCTCGCTTTTGCTGCCCGAGTCATCGTTCCTGGACACACATTCATGCGTGAACTATGATCAGCGTGCCCTGAACTGTATCTGTGTATGTGAGTGCGGTGCGTAAAGCCCACCTTGAGAATGGGTTTGTCGGCCCCTTAGCAGATGCGTGGCTTCTGAAGAGGGTGTTGAAGGGCATCCAGCGATGCCATGGTACGGCTGTACTCACCCCTCGCCTTCCTATAACTATGCCAATCCTACGACACCTGACGGATGCACGCCGGAAAAGTAGTATCCTGAATGGCCATGACAAGCTGCTCTACCAAGCCGCCATGCTGCTTCTTTGGATTTCTTCGGTGTGCCGAATTCACTAATGGCATCAAACGGGGCTGTACTAGCTCCTCTGGTGACGGACGCCTGCAACTCTTCCTGCTTTCATCCAAGACGGACCCATTCGGTGAAGGCGTTACTAGTGACATTGGCCCGTCTGTACTGCCGTACTGCCCGGTCCGTGCCATGGTTAGCTACCCATTTGTCACTCGTCGCGAGGGACCGGAGCAACTCTCGTTCATTCTCTCGAACAGACAGCAGCTGACCAGGCCAGCTATCGCCCCGGCTTGCTGCCGTGTCATGGATGCCATGATCCCCAACTCGGGTGAGTAATGAGCTACTGAACTCTTGCTGCGCAATGCTTGCCTGTGCTGACATTAATTGACCCTCGCTGTGCGTCAATAGTGCTTAGCTAACGGAGTGCTGGTTTCATGGGTCCACTCTCACAACTGGTGTTATCTAGCTATTTGCTGCGGCTCTGCCTTGCGCTATAATACATCCATTTAGCATTGCAGCTCTACGTTGAGCTAATAGCAGCTCTACTTTGAGCTAACAGCAGCTCTACTTTGAGCTAACAGCAGCTCTACTTTGAGCTAACAGCAGCTCTACCTTGAGCTAACAGCAGCTCTACTTTGAGCTAACAGCAGCTCTACTTTGAGCTAATCGCTGCTCTAATTTGAGCTAACAGCAGCTCTACTTTGAGCTAACCGCAGCTCTACTTTGAGCTAACCGCAGCTCTACTTTGAGCCAACAGCAGCTCTACTTTGAGCTAACCGCAGCTCTACTTTGAGCTAACACCAGCTCTGCTCTGAGCTAACAGCAGCTCTGCTATGAGCTGACTGCAGCTCGGCTCTGAGCTAACACAAGCTCTACTTTGAGCTTCAACCCAGTTGTTTCGAAACCAACACTCCTCAATCCAAAGATGCCTCTTTGTTGACTTGTTTGTGTGAGGGATGGGGCTAATGGTGTACTAGCTGTGCTAGTACTTGTTAGCAACAATCCGAACTAGCGCACACACTGCACTGCATTGCTTTGTACTGCATTCAAGACTGACGTCATGCGCTTTGTTTTGCTGCGTAATCACAAATGGCACCAGCCCATTTTGCTGAAAAGAAAAACAAATCTTGCTTGCCCTGTTGTGCTCTTCCAGACAACGGATCGTGCTTCAGCAGTGTTTCTTTTCCCACCATCCCTCCCTATCCAACTACTTATTCACACCATCATTATAATTATCGTACCCACTAATCGGGTCCACTCTCACAACTGGTGTTATCTAGCTATTTGCTGTGGCTCCGCCTTGCGCTATATTACAACCATTTAGCATTGCAGCTCTACGTTGAGCTAACAGCAGCTCTACTTTGAGCTAACGATTCACACACTCGCATAAAGGAAGACTGAAGAGAACAGGGAGACTGAAGGAGGACAGGAAAGAAAATGCCATACCTGGAAGCAGCACCGCGGCGGCTGGAGCTACGGCGGAGGGCAAGCCAGGTTTTATCTTCATCTTGGTTGAGCCGGTCACTCAGAGCGGCTAGCTCGGCGTCAGACAAATGACCTCCCTCCTCGTCTTGAATCGTGGTCTTCACTTTGTCGATAGCATCGCTTTGCGCGACGTAAAGAGTGATGGTCTAGCCAGGAAGAGTGTTGACGAAAATCTGCATCCCACCACGGAGGCGAAGTACCAAATGAAGAGTGGGCTCCTGCTTCCGACTGCGTGCCGGCGAAAATCAAACGCTGCTTGTCTTGGGGAATACCCTCCTTGTCTTGGGCAGCAGCCTGCCTGTTGTCGTCCTCATCAGCTTCGCCATCACCACCGGTAGTATACAATTATGTAGGTAGCGGGTCGCTTGGAATCGCCATCGGAGTCTCCAGTGTGTACCGTGCGGAGAGAAGGGGGATCCACGCTTGCACCCTGACTGTGCTGCAAGCTAATAAGCAGGGCCAGGCCCAGGGAAGCAAGAAAAATGATTCTCATCTTGATTCGTCGCACGGAGCTGCAGCGGGTTGGGCCATGGGGGTCTGGGGTCGAATCACGTTGTTTTATTTTACAAAACACACCGCTGCCACCAATGTAACAGATAGCCGAGTGGTAGGCGCGGTGCAATTAACACGAGTTATCTTTTTTTCTACTTCTCTCAGGTACACACCTGGGATATAATTATTAGTAAAAAAGAAGCGGCACAATAAATAAATAACTCTCCGGTGCACACCTAGAGGTCGACTACTTCTTCTTCGAGTTAGCTTTGTCGTTGCTATCTAATCTCAATCAAAACAGAAATGCGCAGCCGCTTTAATGCAGACGCCGTATGCTTACATACGGAGATACACTAAATATACATCAGGCAAAGCTCCGTATTAGTTCCGTTATACTTCTGTATTGGTCGGGCAGGGATACTACATGTGTGTGTGTGTGTGCAGTAAAACCTGTAACTAAAGACCACCGTGACTAGCGACCAGCCTGGTACTACCGACCACTTCGCCAGGCACGGACGGTCTCACATTCAAAATGCACTGTTACTAGCGACTACCTGCTGAATGCGACCAGCGATCGCCTTTTTTTTGTCCTAAAGATGATTTTTGACCCGTAACTAGCGACCGCGTTGTAGGAAATCAAATGTTGCTCGAAGCTCCTTCTTGACATTTTGATGATTTTCCGTGGTCCTGAAAAGAATCTTTGGATACTATAGCTGAAGAAATGAACGCAGGTCAAATATTAATCTTCTCTCTCTGTCTCTCTTCATCTCTCCGTCTTTCTCTCCAAGTGTTGTTTGACCTGAAATAGGAATGGCATTGCGCAAGTCTTGGGGAATTGTATTAGCTGCATTCTGATATACATAATTATCATATAATGGGATCCATTATGGTCGCGCGGTTCAAACCTCTAACTAAAGACAACCTGCTACTAAAGACCGCTTTTGCTGGCACCAAGGGGTGGTCGGTATTCACAGGTTTTACTATAGATGCTTGGGGTGAGTGGGTGAGTGTGTGTGTGTGTGTGGAGGGGGTGGGGGGGGGGGGGGGGCGGGGGGTATCTTAGAGATCGACTACCTATTCTGGTGTATCAACTTGTATCCAGCTGAATGATGACGTTTTACCCGATACATATTGGCCCAGGTAGGAAAAACCCAATGACGCATATATGTGAATTATGACACAAAAATTGAGGCAAAATAGAGCTGTTCTCAATCCTGCATGCACCACTGTCACAAGCGTACATGTATAGTCAATCAATAGCCTAAAGAGAGGCAATTGTTCACAAACATATTTCACTATAAACTACGTGTCACGAATACGTTCGAGTAAAGTAAAAGTAAATGATCATGTCCGTTCCCGAAGGTAACTCAAGATGTTGGACTGGGAACAAGGATTTATGGAAAGCAGAGACCGGGTGACAATTGATATCAGCAAAACAACACTCTCAATTGACCTTTGGCAACAGAATTCAAGTACGAAGAACATTATTTGACAGCACATCTTGTTTGAGGTGCATCCTAGGTGTCAGATATAATTAAATTGATAGCCGAAAAAGGGGGAGGGGGCTGGCAGAAAAATTTAGAACGAACCTATTCAATTCACACTCGCCCCTTACCTTATAAACTATATTAACCGTTTGGAGCCCCAAACAAACCTCATAATTGTATGCAACTGCTATTGCGACATATTCTTGACCTTATCGTGGTCATAAATTTTGTGTTCGTTTTTGGATTTCCATAATCTGGGGCTTCCTGGAAAGCGCTCCGCGAGCAGAGTAACTAGAGTTCAAATTCAACACCACAGCAGTCTCATATCCAACGCCATGGCGTCTCGAACATGATATTATTCTGAAGGCACTTCAATTGGCTCGGATGAAAGTAGAAAATATGTTTTCAACATAATAGAAGCGTCACTCTCCAGAGACAATACGAAGACTGAATACGACTAGGTTAAAAGTGACGAATTTTCGTGACTAACACTAATTTCACATTTTCGTGTCTACGCGCCACCTAACATTCACGGAAATTTGGATACTTTTTTTGAATAGTTACTGCTTCCAATAAATTCGTAATACTTCAAAGGGATTATGCATTCTCAATTTGTGGGATTTAAATTTGTATTACGAGCATTACAAAAGAGTCTCCTAAATGCCTCGATGTCAAATCAAATGACTAAATATGTAGATCAAACATTATCTGTCTTACCTGATAGAAATAGAACCATTGAAAACTGCATCTTTACTCTCTTCTCTTGTTATTGGCTCTCCTTGCTATTCTCAAGCTAGAGGAGGGTTCATTTAGCTTTCAGCGCAGATCAACCATTGAATATATCATTGGAAGACTTCAGGAGCTTTCTCAATGGGAAAGAAGGCCGTAACTGCTTGTGTTCTTGCTCGTGTGGAGCGAAGATTTTGTACCAGCTGTAATGTAAGTTAGATCACGTAGCACGGGCGAAGAACTGACAGGGAAGCAGCCTGGATCGAGTAGAAGAATCCTTGGTTAAGAGCGTATTTATCAGCTGTGGTTGAAGCCCACAACCCCGCTCATAGACAGGTGGTACACCATGGCCAGCTAAGGCAGACACGATGCTAACAATGCATGATACAAGGGAGTGCTGAGATCATTCTCGCAGTCAGAAGGCCGAAACGATAGTTATACTGGACGATGTATGATGGTGATACTCATGGCCAACGGACAACGATTGGCCTTTAGTCTTAGGCGCGCTCAATGTTTCATGACTGGAAATTAGAACGTATATCAAGAATTTGCGTTGATGCATTTTAAATAATTGGTGCATGTTCAATCATCCCTGCATGAGGTTGGCACTCAACTGCGTTTCTGGCCACACAAGGCGACGTGAACAGTACCTGATTTGGCAGCCATTCAAATTGGTGATATAAGTACATGTATGCCGCGTGATGGACTGAATATTTCTGGACAGTTAACGGATGTAGTCACCTTGAATAAATTCTAACATCTATAGCTCTAAATATGTTTACCTTGTAGTATAAGGTACGGCCGCATAGTCATTCACTGGGGACATGCTGTGAAGCTAGTTATGCGTGAATACAATGAATGTGTTGTCACCAGCTTGCACGAACCAGGCACCAGCATGCAGTAGAGTACACCGTACGTCTAGACTAGTATGCGGGTGTTAGTAACGGAGGTCAACTGATCAATGTGTATTAACGAACTGTGTGGAAGTCATATTGAAACAATACTACGGGCCATATGCAAAATATTGGCTGATCGTGCAGGGAACTGTATGATCGTGTAGTTATTAACATAGTGTGTAGCTTGATGGCTCTAGCAGGATGCAATTCCGGACCTATCATGAGTGTACATGATGTGTGCCAGATTGACTGGAGCTTTCCATGCGTGAATAATATGAATGGGCCAGTTGTCACCAGCTGTACGAACTACAGAACGGCATGCATTACATACCACCTGACGCTTGACTGAGCCTCCTTTGATTTGAACTACACGCTGCTAAATATTTAGGCAAATTGCTACGATAATTTATTGCTCCCACTCGCGTCCATGATATTGGGCGACACCTCCGGTTTAGTTATACGAACTCCAAACAGGAACGTACCTACCTACTTACCTTCCCTTGACTCGTGTGCTACGAGCTAATAACGAAGGCCGTCCCATTATTGTGCAATTAGCCTTTTGATTGTTTATTTCAACATTATGATCTGTCATTGCCCTATGCATTTGAATTGAATGGAGCCGGTTTACCGCATATGCATTGATATCCATGTTGACATTAACAGGGGGTGGAAGACAAATCCCATGCAGTGCCAAGGACTGTATACTGTCAAAAACCTATTCCTTGGTATATATTCGCATTCCATTTTCAATCAAATCCTGAAGATAAAGTGGGAAATTGGCCTCCATGGGTTCCCGTGTGATTCACTTAGATTCGTCATATTCGTAGATACATCATTTGATCGCCGATTATGTATCCATCCCTCCCCCTCCCCCTCCCCTGTATCCGTGCTGATGGTTTAGCTTGGAGACCAGTATATAAGTGGTGCGTTTTAGGCACTATCTTCCTCAGCCTACTCAAGGTCAACCAATGAGGGATGAATTCCCTTAAAAACACTGTGTATTGAGCAGGGAGTGGTGCTTTCTTGGAAGGTACGACCTGCTCCTCGTGTGTTCCGGATGGCAGTCGTGAGTCACTCAAGTTTAAAGTTCGGCGAGCAACGTGTGTTCTTCGTTGGAACGACTAACTTGATGACTAATACAGCCGCAACTTCTAAGTTCGAAAAGAAAAAAATTGCGGTGTGCGGTGACTGTATGCGACAATGAGAGAAACGTCTACCATGCTGACAGCATCCAAACCATGCCCAGCGTATGTTTATGATGATATGGGAAGAAAGCTTAACTGCACTATCATGTCATACAATGGAGTAGGAGAATCTCAAAGAACAAATAATGCACTCAGCTTAAGGGAATGCCCGGGGTTACGAACCCCACATGTCATACAATATTGGTGAAGACAGAGGTACATGTATATGCCAGGGAAAGGCAACAGACAACGTTATGGATAGGTACCGCAAAGCGAAAATGGTACTGCAGTTGCTGTGTTCATTTTCACTGTACTTAATTGTCAAATATCTCATAAGTAACCCTGTTTAAAACAATGGCGATGGGTAATACTTAATTGGTGTCCGTGTTGGTGCGGTAAACAGAACTCTCCGTGAGGTCACAGGATTTCTTTGTAATGCTGACATACGCTGTGCTCTCGTACATGGGAACATTAGACTGGTTGTTATCTTGCGTTGCTCCTGATTGTTCTGAGTATTTTGAGGCATCATTTGTCACTGTCTCGTACATGGCAATTTCTTGGGTGTTGCGGACAGGGCCATCCGGATATCCTGAATTGCTCTGCACAGATTTATTACATTTGGGTGGGTTCTGGCCTTCCGCTGGACACATGGAAGAGCGAAATCTACGTAGGAAAACTGTTCCTAATAGGAGTCCGAAGACAATAACTGACACTGAAATGCCTATTATGGCACCACGGCTGGGAAAAAAAGAAGGTTGATTTTCTGCCATTGCGGTCACTGTGAGCGTTGAAAGTGCATTGGTATTTGTATTGCCTCGTCCTGTTGATACAGTTTCTTTGGTTGACTGTCTAGTCGTATAACTGTCGCTACTGGGCGTGATGTGAATTGAATTCGAAGATGAATCTGCGGGAGAAAACATCGAAGCAAGGATACTGTATTTTACGGTGAGAAAGTTTCTGCACTAAAAATAAACAAAAATATATGCTGCATGCGGTCTCTTGTCAAATTGGATTGGAAGTTATCAATATGCCCACATTTTTCCTCAAGTGTACATAGAGCGACACGTCAAGGAATATCCTGGATAAACAATATGATTTTGCTTGTGCACGCCAGGCTTGTCCATTGGCAGGTGATGGGTGAAATTTTAATTCAAGCTTCTTTTCTCAGACCTATCCACTGCCAAGACAGTATGATGTTGGTGGGTATGCTGCAAAAACTACGAAGTAGGGCATATTTGAGTAGATTAGGTGAAGGTGGAGAATTTGTCATGTCTCAAAGTTCTCAGTATCTGGCTCGCAAGAAAATGCCATGAGTAGGCATTTTAAAATGGGCATATTTGCACTGCTCATTTGAAGTTTATTTTATTAATTTTTTACAAAGAACACAAACCCGGGTCGAGACAAAATATAATAACAAAAAAGATAACAAAGTTGCATGCAGTGAGAACGAAGCAACGACTAGAAAACCGAAGTTGACGGTTGACAGAACAAACAATTATTAAGTCGGAGCTGACTACTGTATCCACTAGCGCAGCTGTGTTTGCGCGATTGATTCGGCTTTGGATTAAAAGTCATCTTGAGCATCACCCAAACTAAACAACCTCGCGTTTCTAAATTTCCGAGTAGAAAATCATTCCGTAGAAGGTAAGAGCAGCTTTGGAGATAGAAAGCCAAGGTTAATTCTCGCTTAAAACATATTTGAAGCTTAACTCCACATACCTGACTTTGCGTTGAGTGTCGTTACGACCCTTTCGTCAATGTATGTCAAGTGGGCGGATAACGGTTTAATTGTTGATGTTTCTGTGTTCAAATCAAGGGTTGGTCTGTGAGATATGTCCCTGGATGCAATAGGACCCTGTACGGAAGTTGTGAGCACATATCTGGATGTTGTACGCTCGCCGATGGAAGTAGTCGGAACAGATCTACGTGTTGTAGAGGCGGTTGCAGGTGGTTCTTCCTCTGTGGTGTCTGCAGAATTGTTATGAAAAATGAAACAAAAAGCAAGAAATAAGTTCCAAAAGTCACCCTGTCACAGACCGTGCCTTCTGACTCGCGACGTTCAATGTTGAACAACGCAACGACTGCAGCATGTCGTGTCGTACGAGTCGTACAAGATCTTACAGCTCACGTCACTCCAGCCTTCCCGACCGGCCTTGCACTGCGCCCAAAATCAGTGTCCATGCGGCCAGGCGGCAAGTTGTATGGCAACGGCATCCCCTTGACCTAAACGTCTCGGCCACGATTCAAATCGTGATTGCGACCTCCGGAGATTGTACCGCGACTTGGCGGCAACATGATCGTGGACGTGAAGCGTGTTTGTGTAAAACGTGGCCTCAAGTATGTTCAATTTCTTAAATTCTGGTGTGTTGATTCATGAAACTCGGCAAGTGTCGATGTCATCCTCAACATCTGCACATTTTGTAGTTGGGGTCTTGCACGCTCGCACCGCTATAATTATATGCATTCTTTGCCCTTTTTGGACAATTTTGTTTTTGTTGCTTCGTTGTGAGTTGATCGTGTCCGTGACCAATTTCTACGGTGTACTCGTTGAATAGGATGGCAGCTTGGTCTGGTTTCGGAAACCATCTTTGTCTTCTTTTTCTGCGATGATTGAATGCCATACCTCAAGAAAGTTCAGTTACATATCATCGGAAAATGCAGTTTTCATCTCGGCAACAAACAACAGAAACCATTACCGGAATTTACACTGCACTTGCACTTGCCCCGACCACGAGGACAGGAAAGCGAAAGCGCTTGGATGTCAGCGGCAGCCCCTCAAGAGTCCAAACCTACAAGTACATGATTTTATGAATTATTTTCGTCGACTTCAATAAAACGAGCCACGAGGCACTTCCTCCAACATGCAACAGGCGAAAATTTACATCCAAAACGGACCACAACTTTATTATGGAAACGCACGCATTCTTATGGTTAGGAAATGCAAGTCGCAAAGTTTGGGTGACAACTTCACATCTAGACGTGTATGAGGCCTGGTGTGAGCACGACTGCCACGTTGCTGCGTTTCGCTGTTAACATTTTCATAACGTAGACGGGGACGCAAGTGCACTAACACGGCTGTAATTCGAGTGCGACTGCTCCAGATTTGTACTTGGAAATTTGTATTATGCCAAACACTACGCTTGCCATGATAACTCGCAGAACGGCTAACACGATTTGAGTTGACTTTTAGAAAGATAAGATCTCATGTCACTTATTGTATGTAGGGGTAGTGCAGGAGCGCTACAGACGAACTGCTTTATCATCTCCTTGGGCTATAGAATGGCACACCTTCCATGGCTACACATTTTTGGTCGTCATCATTAACTGGTATTGTGAACTTGATTCCGCTTCATTCAAGGGAAAAACCTGAAAAGAAGTCAACCCGTCGAAAGTGTGAAAGTCAACTCGTCAAGGACCACGCCTATTAAGCTCACTTGGTCTCATGTTTCTTCTACAGCTGTATTTCTAGATTTAGAAATTTTTAAGATAGATGCGGATAGATTCTCCTACGGAACTTTCCAGAAAGACAGGAATGCATATTTATACATCCCTTTCAAGTCAGACCACCCCCGCTCTAATCTTAGATCATTTATCAATGCAGAGCTCATCCGGTACAACAACCGTACAAACCAGCTACTAGAGGATATTCTCAAGATTCGCAAGCTTTTCTGGCTCAGACTCAGAAAACGAGGATATCCACCCGAATTCCTGTGTACGCTATTCATTGCTGTAGAGCCCAAACCGCAAGTCTTTGTAAATAAATCTACAGACTCGGTGCATAAGAACAAACAGTATGTTTTCTGTACCACATACCATCCGCACTTTGTCAGAACAAACTATCGCTCCCTTCTGAATCAGTCACTTTTTACTGATTCTCAGATTTTCTTTAGAAGCACCAAGCAGCTTATTTACAATTACCGGTAGTTCACTCATACGACAGAGCATACTTTGCTCTGCATTTTTGGTTGGTTCCAGAAATTTCTGGAACCAACCAAAAACATCTGTACAAACCTACAACTTTCACCTAGTTCAACCCTATGTTCATTTACTTTTGTACAGCTTTACAACTTTTCACCTTGCTATTTCCTAACCTGCCTACTTGTGCGCACGCATGCATTCTTGCCGGAGATGTCTACCTGTGGCGACAATAATTTTTTCATGGACTGATCTTCTTTTTTAGTGTTTGCACACTCTTGGCTGCTGCTGCTGTGGCGCTTTTGTATTTACATGCTGCTGCGCTCTGTACGGCTGCACTAGCCGTGTTAACTGTCGTACCCAGATGCACACATTCAATCCCTGGCTATGCTTTGGAATTGTTTTCGTTGCCTATGTCCTCATCTCTCTTCGTTTTGTTTTCGCTGCCTGGGCTCTCATTTATCTTTGCGTGCTTGCTTGCTTGTATTGCTGAGGGAACATATGCTGGTTTGTATTCGTGGGTCCCCATGGTGCATGGGCCACGCGTACTCATCCGGCGGATATGTGTGAATAATAATAATAATAATTTCCTAAGGTTCACGCTACCTGTGTGTATTAGCCACATTTGCGCCAAGACAATTATTTTACTGCACTGCTTCACGCTCAGTTACTGGTGCATAGTGCAACATGATTAGCAACCTTCTCCACTTTACACTATGCCAATTCACGCCTACTATGTATATAAGCTAGTGTTTTGTACCTCATTCTTCATCCCCTGATGAAGCATTCTAATTGCAGAAACCATTCAGGTATCAATAATAAAGTTGTAATGTATGAATTATAACTAACATTACTGTGCTCTTGTTGTGTCGGGAGTTGAATGCATCTTCCCCAGTACCATTAGCGTTGCATCCAATTGGAACCATGCTTTACTTAAATTATTTCATTACGATATTATTCTTCAATATGAGTACTAAAGAAACGTGTCGTTGCTGGTCACTTACATTCCATGAAGATACGAATTATCGTACGGTTGTGACTGTCCGCACTGACACTGCATTGTGAGCCTACACCATCCCTCACTACTGGCCTGATAGAGACTGTTATTCGAGACGGACTTGGACATTGATGTCTTAGATTCGATGGCAGTGTATCCAGGCCAATCCATCGAATACAACTTCCTCCTTTGGTACAGGAATGTTCACTAGTAACAGAACGGGTGTACGTTCCTCGTTTAAGTGTAACGTCTACTTGACAGGTTGATCCTCTTCGAATGAAGACGTTCGCATACTGTACTAGCATGTTGCATCGTGATTCTGGCAAAAAATGTGCAGAGACCACCTGTTCCCTCGTAACCCTTCGCCATCGAGAGTGCTGTGGCAAAGCGGCAGTGTAGTACAAGACTCCAGCAGCGTTGATAGACTTGGCCTGCACTTGGTAATAGCCTCTCAATAAACATTGCCTTCTCTTGCAAGGTTGCTCACCGTTGACCATCAAGCTTAGCCCTTAACAGAGACAGTTCATAACAACTTATATGTTCGGGTTGTCGGGTAATTCATCATACGGTTTCCGTGCATTTAAAACTTCATTACAGGACCATTGCGTTCCACTATGTAAACAAAGGCAAGGAACAAGGTGGTGATGTCCATTGTAAGTACACAGAACGCAGCCTCAGTTGAGGTAAAGTTAGAATGAACCTGGTTAGCTCTCATTTCCATCGAGTCCGTTTGACATGCGCTAACTGAGGATGCCGAAAGTCGGTCGATGATTGCGTATCATTTTAAAATTGGACCCAAAATCCCATGTATCCTTTCATTTTGTAATGAATTCATTTAGATTTGTGCAAAACCCCATTCTAATTTCAGATTTGTCTGGGGGGTGGGGGGGGGGGTAGTTTGGAGAATCGGTGTGATTGACTACCGCTTTTGGTTTCTCATCTTGATTAAAAAGGGTAGAGCTCGATAAAGGGTTTTATACTGTAAACATTAGCCGAGGGTAAGACAACACCACTAACCCTCACATGTGAATTGTAACAGAAAAATAGGGCAAAAATGGTGCTGTTATGAACCCTGAAAAGCACAGGTGTCACAAAAGCAAGATCAATCACAAGGAGACAAAGAGAGGTACATGTACACAAAACTATTTCGTTATAAACTACGTGTGACAAAGGAACTACCTGTCACAAAGATTTCAGAGTGGGCAGAAGGCTGTATGTAAAGTAGAGACAAAATGGCAGTTAACTACATCTTCAATTTACGATTTCAGTTCTGCAGGAAGCGTGTGTTCCTCGTTGGAGCAACCAACTTCCATTCACCTATTCCAAAAATTGCATCACGACAAATACAACATACCCCGGTACATGTAGGCAGCACATATTGTTGAAGGTGAGTCCTAGGTGTCGCAAATGATGAGATTGATTCTAGGCGGGGAGGGGGGGGGGCTGCCAGAACACAATCTAGAACTAACATATTCAACTCATGATTGCTCACATGATCTAGAAGTCTTTTAAAATCAATAATATGGGCAGGATATGCCTCTGAATGCACTTCTGTTTGGATCGAACGAAGAGTAGAATAATGTGTTCAACATAATTGAAGCGTCACTCTTCAGAGGCCATATGAAGATTTTGGGTACCGGTTTGGAATTTGTAAATGGGGCGGCTAATCATTGCGTTATACTGAACAGAAATTCTGGATTTACGAAATTTATCGCTCAGAATAAGTGTTCTGAGCCTTAAATGGTCAAAGCTGTACATCAAACAGTACATTATTCTTACCAAATAGAAATAGAACTATTTGAAACTGCATCATCACTCCCTTATCTTGTCACTAGCTCTCGTTGATACTTTTCTAGCGTGGAGGAGGATTTTATTACTTTCTGAACAGACTAACCATTGAGCGCAGCTTTTGAAATCTTCAAGGAAATGAGGCCGTGACTGCTTGTGTCGAAGTTCGTGTGGGCGCAGGTCTTATACCACCTACCTCTAAGTAAGAGCACTTAGCACAGTCGAAGAACTGACAGGGAAGCAGCCTTGACGCGTGGAAGAATTTTGGGTCTAGGGCGTATTTACCAGCTGTGGTTAAATCCCACGACTGGGATGACAGACACGTAGTGCATTACGGCAAGCTAGATCAGACACGATGCTCACAGTGCATGCCACAGGGTTGTGCAAAACGCAAATCCGAACTCGGAAGAGCGAAATGATTGATATACAGTGCTGTGTACAGACATGGACATGGCTAACGGCGTAGGCTTGGCATATTTAGCCTTTGGCGCACTCAATGTTTCATTGTTGAACAGTAGAATCAGAAAACACTGTTTCGTTCAGGGAAACAACATGTTTTCCATATTCGATGAACCTTGCACTGGACTGACACTAACCTGCGTTCCTGGCCAAACAAGGCAACGTGAACAGTATGTGATTTGGCAACGATTCAAAACAGGAAATCTAGCAATGCTGCAGGACCGTCTCAGTATTCCTGGACGCTCGCACAATGTAGTCACATTGAACAAATTCAAACAGCTACTGGTATATGGCTGAATTTGCTGACCGACCGTGGAGTTTAAGATGGGCAACTGTGAGGACTGACAGACACATGCAGTGCAGCATAGTTGGTCTCACAGGATGCCTTTTGTGACTTATCGTGAATGTACGGGATGTGTGGGCAGATTGAACGGAGCTATCCATGCGTGAATGCAATGCATGCGCCAGTCGGCACTAGATGCAGGGCCACACAGCGCCATGCAATTATAGTACAGTACGTCTAGACTAGTATCCTGCGGGTGATCAACGACCACTGATTGCGTACTTAGCCTGTTGATTGTTTTTTTTGCCAGGTGTGTTCTTTTGTTATGGCCCTATGTATGGTTGTTAAATGTAGTCAGTTTATCGCCAGCACATCGACAACAATGTTCAGATAAATAGGAGCTGGAAGTGTGAACAAATCCATTCAAACCAAAGAGCTGCTTACTGGTATATTCTTGAACATTATTGTTTTAATTTTCAATCAAATCGTCTGAAAAGTTCTCTTGAATTGCTCAGGCTTACGTTGTAAACTGTCTTACATGGATTATCTGGTGACTCGGTCAGTATCGTTATCAGTACGCATCATACGGTCGCCAATTTTCTGTACATCCGTCTACTAATCCACAAACTCGTCTCCCAACTCTTGTGCTTGTCAGTGTTAAGAATTATTCATCATGAGACGTTGGCCAGTGTACATTCCAACTAACACTAACGATTGCGCACTGCAGCCCATGGAAACCTTTGTCAGCCCTGTTTCGGGTTTGCATACGTAGACAGCGAAAAGGACCGAGTAGTAGACCACAATGCAAGTTCCTGGTTTGACCAGCTACGAATGAAACGTTAGAAGCTATTGCGTCGTGAAATTAACAAGCGTCATATCAATGGCTACTCTCCCTACCACCATCATGAAGGACCTGCACGACATTCCTTTGAAGAATGCCAGCGACCTAGAAGGAGCACGAGCATTTGCTGCAGACAAGTCGAAATGGAGATCAGACATTGTTTATGGATGAGTTTTTTGTTGACTGGAGACAGAAGCGGACTTGGCTTAATTTCAGTGTATTCTCATGCATTGTTCTTTGGCCTTTGTACGCGTGCTGTGGTATTATTATTATTATTATATCAATGGTTGTGTTTAACATCATGTTCCTTCTCGCTAGGCTATGCTAGTGAGGGAGAGGAATTGAAGTTGAACTCTCTTTAAAGCTCCATGTCCTAAAATCGATGCTCTCGCCAGCTTCAAGTTGAAAACGTGTTCCAATTGGTTTTTAGTTGGCAGTGACACACATCATCCACAATACACACGGGGCAGTGACCCACCGTTGCTGCAGGGTACTCATTATAAGTTGGATTACTATCATCAGTCGTGAGTAAGGTATTCTGTATTCTTTGGAAACTAAGCGTAGAGAAGGAGAATGCATAGTTCGCACTACTCTACGATTATTCATGTTTGTTTGTTTGTTAGTCCCCTGGTCTGTGACGCATTGCAGTAGAAGATCATCAGCAGTAAATAGAAGTCAAGGGGTAGAGCACTAAAGTAGACTCTAGTCGCATTTTCGAAGAAGAAGGCTGGCCAGTCGTAGATCTACGTGTGTGGGTGGGTGGGAGTACGCATATCTATGTGTGTATGTTTGGTTGAAGTGTTGCACTTATTCGGTCATAAGGTTATGTGAGGGTGTATGTATGCACTTCGTTGATAGAAGCGTACTATTAAACTTTCTTCTATGTTTCATCCTGTGAGTGTGAGGACATTATTAGGGTTAGTCCATGCTGCTCAGTTTTCGGCAAACATCAAGTGGTGTTTTGTAATGTTCCAGTCAATTCGCATTGATACCCGCTTCGTCACAGAAGAAGCGGCTTTGCGATAATATTTATGACTACAGTTTGTAGCTTTGACCCATTGGTACTATTGTGGGTATTGTTTCCTTCAGAATACCTCCAATCTGAAGAAAGCAAGTTCCGAATAAGTTGAGTGAAAGGAATGGTGGTTGTGATAAAGACCATGCGAGGGTTTGTAATTATTCGTGGCCTTTGTGGTATTTCTCCATCCTTGTCCCGTTGCATTTCTTATGTGGCATGCTGGATAGAGGTAGGGCGTCAAACTCAAAAGTAAAGTCGCCGTGCCCATATCGTGTAGCACCAAAAAGCTACAAAGAGATATGGCCATCCAGACTACGTTATCAACGGCCTATCGTGGATCTTGCTTTTTGAATAGCAGTAATAATTATTCACCATACTTCACCATATGTTCAGTGGCACGCACGTGGCGTGCTAGCACAAGGAAACGGCATAGTCCCAACATAGTGCAGGTAGAAAAAGAATGTGCGTGTACTGAGAAGTATTCACAACTCCATCCATGACAAATAGTTATAGAAGTAAGTGATTTCACAGATTCAAGTTACAGTTAGACTGATAAACCAGTCCCTTCTCCACAATACTCACTAATGTTGCCGGGTGGAATGAGCATAGATACAGCATTTAATAATGGTTAAGCGGACTCATTCGGCTCTGTACAGAATTTTAACCACCCGCCACACACAATACTTGCTCTCTCCTATCCTTCACTGACGAGAATTGTACACTCCAAACAGCTGGATGAAGGAACTCACTCTGAATGTCTTGCTATGCTGATGGTGTATTGTGTGGCAACGTGTCACGGTTGGCTGGAGCGCACAGTTATGGTATGGTGATTGATCCAAATAATTGGCACAGCATCCCATGAAATTTATCATATGTGGCATATGTGTATAAATTCACGCCAGTATGAAGGTGGCGTGTATCTGCGGCAATAACCTATCTTGCTCAGACTTCACTTGTTTTTGAATCTAGGCCCATGTACATCTACTCTGTCTGTACCATTTCGAAAACTCTTGCGTCGTTACGGTTGGAGACAGCCAGTCTAACGCCATCCGGTATTCTACTGGTGAGCTAAACTTAAAATCACACCTTTGTGGTCACGATACGCACCTTGTTTACGCGAATAGAAGTTGACAGTATGAGGTCAGTTTACTTCCCTGCAATAACTGAAATGAATGTACATGATTGTAGTACAATCATGTACATGATTGTATTCTAGTTCTTCAGACTTAGTAGTGTCTTAGCGCTAACTTGAAATCAATGCAGTAACATGACAACACGACAACAGTAGCTCAGGCAATCTTCCACAGAACCGCTAAACGCAAAGTCACACTGTTTGCACTCTTATGATGAAGAGCGTTGAATTCCTCATCCACCAGCCAATATTCTAGTTTTTTCCTTTCAGCGCACTGTGCTGTTATCCTCCTTGAACTATTTATCAGGTACTTTGTGTTCCCCATCAGTGGCCGTACTCCAATTCCTCCTTGCAAGTCCTACGTGCCATTTGTTGATTGACTCTGTCAGAGCAATGCCCATATGTCATAGCAGCTTTCTCTCTTATCTGGACCGCAAGGCGGAGGTCAGCGTAAGGTTCCCTATTGAAGTCCACGAACCAATCGAGACAATAGCTGGTACGTTTTCGTACTGCTGCACAGTTTGTGTCACTATCCGCATTATGAAAGAGCTACTAGACATAATACACTTGCAAGTAAATGTATAATCAAAAGAGTGCAGTTAACTCTAGATTAATTGAAATAAAGTTCGGAGCAGTAACACATATCCAAAATTTTTGCTCTCTCTCTCTATCTCTCTCTCTCTCTGTGGAGCACGGACGCAAAGCATCATGAGCTGATAGAAGCTAGGTGAACCAACTCGTGGAAACAAACGGTGTGTGAAACCAATGTAAGTGAACGATCGGCTTGACCATGATACCCCTGTGAAACTCCTGTGGTCCAGGGGTCATGTTGTAGAGACGTTTTAGGGGAGCACGCGTAGCTGCTGCAGTCCTGACAGCGTTTTTCCACAAAGGGCACGTCGTGGTAGATGGCCTTTCAGTAGTATTCAATCATAATTATTTCATGATAATGCACTTATCAGTTCAACCTATTTGTGGCAGTGTTTCTTACTGATATCTCACTGCTTCGGAGATAACTGTAGAAGAATATTGTGGCTGATGGTGCAAAATCTGGGCTTCATGCCGACCGAATGACTGGCTGACACTGATGGAGTTTTGAAATTTAGACGAGTGGATGATCAGGCCTCTTTCTGGTGCACTCGAAACGGCAGTTGTGAGTCAGTCATGCGAAAGTCAGTCAGCAGGAGGCACGAGCTCCAACGCTTGCAGAAGCATTTTTGTTCACAGCATCACAGAAGGTGACTGATATAGCCTACCATTGAAAGAACGGAACAATACTTGGGTGAAATCGGCAATTGGAACTCATTGCATGATAATTCGTCATTATAGACATTGGCAGCTACGTTGCGGGTTACTCAACAATTATAAAATTCTTAAATCAAAGGCGCTCAGGATTTGGAGGATGAGAACATTGTATGTTTCTGTATGCAGTACTGGATGTGTGCCTATGGTGATAGCATTTCGGGCAGGCCGGCCGTATGTCTTTCAAGGCAATTTCCGTAAGACTATAAAAACTATGTAATATTTCAATTATGGAGTCAGCTGTTCGAGTGCACATCCAATACGTGAAAGAGTTGATTGCAATTTAGTTGTAGAACATCAGTACCATCGGACAGTGTCGTGGTTGGTTACGGAACGAGCTGATAGTCAAGTGACGGGTGTCTCATTGCACGGTATAGCGTAATTTGTAGTTCCTTCGTGCTGTTTCTTTCCTTCAGACATTAAAATAAATCAGATTACCTCCTATTGCGTCCAACATTAAAATATAAGACACATTGTACAAAACCATAGTTACAGTTCTATTTCAATTGAAAACGTTTCACACGATCCTGAACTGACTATGAAAGATAAATTGCTGCAGGTTTCGAGATGTCTGATGCGACCAGGACAATGTAGATCATACCACCGAGACACCTAGCCCAATATGAACTTTGTCAGGCACCCAGCACGCAGGCATTGATATATGCAGGGTCATTATTGTGAAATCTGGAGTAGGGACATCGGTTCAGGCCGCAAGGCGAACAAAATAGAGGAAGGAAATGGTTTAAACAAGAAAAAGGAATTTCATTACGTAAGCAGGTGATGCTGATTAGCAACCGCCAAATAGAAATATGAAAGATACGCATGTCCCATGCGTGTAGTTCAATAGAATGTATCATCTATGGTATGGCAGTATCTACAGTGTATGTATTACGCTGAAATACAGGATTTCAGGAAAATGAAAAAGTTAATGCACGTGCAGGGGATGTATAACTCAAAATGTGATTTGTAACTCTACATGGTCAGTTGCAGGATATTGCACTGTTAATATGTTCGCTAATCATTCTTTTAAAATACAAGATTACGTGTATCATATTGGTGGGATATTCAAAGGGCCTACTCGATGTGGTGCAAAGTACCAGGAAAATTTAGCATCGAAATTTAGTGGCGATCTGTTAGAATGATCATTGGAAGGAATCCTTGTGTTTCTGGAGTACTAGCCTTGAATCAACCTACTCAAAGGTCAGCATAAAGTTACGAGATACGCTTAGAAGTCAGGGGCACCAACATGATGTAAGCAGGTGATCTAACGTACATACACGCACACAAGTGGTGAAATTCAAAACGGCAATGGCCAAATGCAGTTACTTTTAAAAGCGTACGTGCTAGTTTCCATTTTTTTCACTCTCAGTCTGCATTCGTGTATTCAAAGGTTTCAATATCGCGTCGTGGCTGTACATATATATATATATATATATTAGCTTACGCTTGGCGTTTGGATCTTGGTTGCCGCACGTATCTGCTGTGTAAAACCCACTTTAACGCAGATCAACGTTGTCATAGTCCTGTTGCTGTATGTCTGCAAAAGCGCAGGATTCCTTGCCTTCTTTGTGCTCTGGTACGTTGTCGTACGTAGGGTCCAATTCCTCTGGCTGATCTTCGGGGGCACTTGCATTTTCGCCATGATCCATCTGTGATTGTCGCTCCCCGCTGAATTCCCGTTCCTTCGCACAGTTGGGATGGCATAGTTTGTCGTATAATGACTCTGACTGTTGTGGTTGGTGGAAATGGTCAATTTCCTTCACATCAGAATACACTTGTTGCCTTGCGTCTCCGTCAGTGCCCCATTCCTTGCTTGCATAGCGCAGTTTATCATAGGTGGAAACAGTTCGTTGTTGTAGGTCTAGAACGGAGGTTTCCTCTGCAAAAGAGTAAAGGGGATGTTCCCGGTTTTCCTGTTGGGGCATGTTAAGTTGGTCTGACACTGCACCAGCAAATGAGTATTCTGCCTCAGCCTTGGACGTGTTCGATGTCTGTGGCAAAAGGTTGTTGCAATCCTGTGGATTCGTGTTTGTGTAATGTGTCCCCGTGGCCCCTGGTTGGTTTGGTAGGTAGTCTCGGTGTGGGTTGGCATAATACACGGTTCGTGTTGGGTCACACGCATTTCCACGCAAGTCGGAGCAGCTATAATCAGGATTGCTGAACGCCTGGGTGTCCGGCTTGTTAGTATGAGCTTGGGTGTCAGTTATCCGGACCTGCGCGGAGGCTCGGCGGCACTTCTTACATAGAATCACGAATAGTCCAGCAATAAGAACTACAGTTAGAATGCTTCCTGTCAGTATACCTATCCAGGTGTGGTTGGTCGATTCAGCAATCAGAGATGCGCTGGTCGATTGAATTGTCGGTAGAGGAGCTGCAGCTGTTGCTTCGTGTGTAGTGGGGATTGCGTTTTCGTCTGTTCCAGCGCTGTTCATACTCGATATATGTGATTCAGCTGAAGTCGTAGTGGATGATGTGGTTGTTACAGTTGACTGTGATTGTACCGAATCTGAAGGCAATGAAACAAGGAAAGTAACAACAGTGCCCTAGGCATAAGGATGCAATCCACACGGTATTCACCTTCGGATAACGCTGTACATATACCATGTGAAATATTAAGTTTTGGCTTGCCGTCAGAATTACAAAAGGCTCTTAAACTCCATTGTGCCTTTAGCAATAACTGCAATTTCCGTGCTGTACAGTCACACGCCTGTTATCCTTATCCTGAACTTTACACAGAATGGGAACAAGGTTTTTGGCAACTTCAGAATGCCGATACTTGTACAATGTAAGGACTCTTGCAATACGCCGCTTACCCTTATTCTCAATTTTACCCAGAGTGTGCAATAAGCTTTTGGCAATTTGAGAATGAAATGAACATACATGTATAATGTAAGGGTTTTTGTCTTGACGTGTTGAGGGAGATAGTGGGCTGGGGGTGGTCGGTTATGGGATACAGCGAATTTTATAGCGGTCTGGCCACATGTGGATGCATCCTGCACCTATAGACAATGTCAAATTAGTCACAACAGGGTTTCTGCTCTGAACAAAATATTCAATATCACCACATATCTTGGCATCTCCTTCCTAATCCAGGCGGAGAGTATGTAGGTTCTTAACTAGGTGATAGGTCCAAATTGAATCTTCTTAACCCATTGAACGCTGATGACGTCTATAGACGTCATTGAAAATGCCCCCCATGCGCGGGATGACGTCTATAGACGTCATGGGATATATAGTGATTTCTGGCACTATTTGGTGTGTAAAAGCACTGTTAGTCAGTTGGATCATGATCCTGCCTATTGTACGATAGGTCGTTGGTTCGAATCACGCTTGGAAACACTACGCGTCTTTTTTTCTAGTCTTTTCAGCGATCTTTTAGCTGCAATTTCACGCATTTGGCGTATTTCACGCAATTTGAGCAAACTTGCGTCCCCTATTGTGAGGCGCTATTCTTTTTGGGGACTGTATCGATTCTGTCACCCTGTGGATGATAGTCTTGGCAATCCTTTCCAACATATTTGAGGACCCCAGTTGCCAGAACCCTGGAGTTTTAGAACTTGCTATTGGCCCTGTTTTTAGCATTTTATATGCAGAGTACCATAGGCAAGGCCCAGTAGCGCTGAATGGGTTAAGAGAGCATGTCTGAGAATACCAAAGTATGTGTGCAAGTGGATCTCTCCGATTTCGCTCAAAATTTGCAGGTAGGTTCCCTTTGGGGTGTGGATCGATTGTGCAAAGCCCTTGAAAAATTTCTGAAGGGAACATTGAAATTTGCATACCCCTCCAAAATGGCCGAAATATCACATTATTTATGGGTCTAGAAACGAGTCACGCCACAGCGTATACGAACAAGTTATGAACAAAACTCCATCAAGCCAACAATGCCTCACCTTAGAAGAGCTCCTGGAGCAGTACCGCTTAGCCACGCCATCATCCCAGAAGACCAGGTCCATCACCCCCTGACGCCACAAATGATCGTCTTGAAAGTAGCCAATTTACAAGCGCTGGCAAAACAGCCAGCTATGTCCTCAATTGGCCAGAACTATACACCGGCAGATAGTAGAACACCTCGTCTAGCGCTGAGGACATGTCCCCCATTTTCCTTTTGGGGTTTTCTTGAAATAAACTTTTTTGAATTTTTCCACTCGACCATGCTGAAATACGGCCAAAGTCATACCTGCGCAGGAAAGCTCGCCACTCCGCGACGTCTCCTCAGCAGTTTCTACTCCAAAAGTACTCCCAAGGCCGCAGAACAAAGTGAAGTGTTGACTCTGACAAGGAAAAGCAGCGGTGATCACTTGTCACTCCAAACGACAAGCTTCTCCTTGCGCCACCAATAATTTTTTGTGCGACTGTTGATGCAAAAGTAACTAAAGCGCAGTTTTTGAATTTTGTTGCAAGATGCACGGTGAGATCGCGTGCTCTGTGACGTAGGATGACGCTTCCTGCATCTCGATACGCGGCCATCGACCGCGAATGTGCCTGGAACGCTACTCGGAACAGACCATGATGGCAGAGGTAAGATAAGCTTCATTTCCTGCTTGAACTGCTGAGAACCCCCACAAACTGCCTTAGGAGTGTTGCAATGGCAGCAAGCCGTTGAAATATGCCCCGTACAGCATGGAGAGTTATTCGTCTTTCACACTTACCTCCTGCAATCCCGAACATAGTCCAACAGTAAAAGTCCTTTGTTTTCATGTCGATGCTCGACAAAAGCGGCTAGCTCGGTCCCTTTGTGTTGACTGGCACGCGAGCAGCACTGGCTGCACGCACTTGTCGCGTGAACTGGATGAGAGATTTCTAACGTCATAAAGAATGTGATTTCATCATCATTTCACTGGTCTTCGACTTCAACCTACATTGTCAGGGAAAGTCCCGGTTCGTAGGCCTACAAGACGGTCAGCGTGTTCTTGAGCGTAGTAACAACACAAGTGTGATCACTTCCAGACCAACGGGCGTTCAAGGCGAGTAACAAGCGCACTTGACAAAGGTGACTCTGAAATCTCGTGAGCCGTGGGCCACGCGACTTGGCATTCTTGCGTCACAAGGCACGTGATTTCACCGTGCATCTTGCAATAAAATTCAAAAACTGCGCTCAGGCCTTCAGTCACTTTTGCATCAACAGTCGCACAAAAAATGATTGGTGGCGCAAGGAGAAGCTTGTCGTTTGGAGTGACAAGTGATCACCGCTGCTTTTCCTTGTCAGAGTCAACACTACACTTTGTTCTGCGGCCTTGGGAGTAGTGTTGGCTAAGCGGTACTACTCCAGGAACTCTTCTAAGGTGAGCCAATGTTGGCTTGATGGAGTTTTGTTCATAGCTTGTTCGTATACGCTGTGGCGTGACTCGTTTCTAGCCCCATAAATAACGTGATATTTCGGCCATTTTGAGGGGTATGCAAATTTCAAGGTTCCCTTCAGAAACTTTTTCAAGGGCTTTGCACAATCGATCCACACCCCAAAGGGAACCTACCTGCAAATTTTGAGCGAAATCGGAGAGATCCACTTGCACACACACTTTGGTATTCTCAGACATGCTCTCTTAAGTCTATTTCCAACTGGTACAGTTCAATACTCATCAGGCAATAATAATGCTCTATGCGGACAGCGGAGAATTTTGTAAGATAGAGAAAGTGTAGGCTTTCAAAATATTCCCAGGTAAACATTTCAAATTTTCAATACCGGGCTTTTCGTCGGATGGTTTCACAGGCCAATTTCCAATTGTTGTTGTGACCTCGGATGTAGGCTGTGTGGTGTGCTCTGTTGCGGTGATGGTCGGTGAAATGGATGTATTTCTTGGTTCGGCTGGTATATATTTGGATGTTGCAGGTCTTGCTATGACAGTTGTCAGCATAGGTCTATCTGAAGTGGGTGCCAGTGTAGGGGGCTCTGTCGTGTCTGGAGTAACCACAAGCAAATTGGTAGGTAGAAACAAAACCGGTAAACAAAGTTGCCATCCTGGACAGCATCAGGGCAGTCTAGACAGATAAAGGTTTATAGAACGTAGCAAGAATGATTCAATTGGGCAGTGTGATGATGATCAACACCATGCAATTTTGTCTCTCGTCATTACTCTGACCAGCTGATTCATAAAACTCTTATGTAGAGAAAGTATCAAGCTTGTACTTATTTTCACATGTATTAGGTATACATTCTCTATTCGAGCCACATCACATTTCACCGCGAAACAAACATCAGGCACCTCATATATTTCACAGAAAAGCACACATTTTGAAGTAATAAAAAATCTTTGATAATTATAGATGAAGAGCAGCAGCTGAAAAGAGGGACTGTCATTTGCCACCGTTGATGGGTAAATTCCTAAAACATTTCCTCGTGACAGTTATCAGTTGGAATAACTCCACCTTATTGCTATGAAAGAAAAAATACGGAGAATGAAGAGAGGAAGTGCACCATTTTTCAACAGAAAAGACAGTAACGGCAAACAAGGACCTAATAGTGTGAAAGGTAGTACATAGAGCGATTTGATACCTTTGGAAAAGGAAGAAACAGGCCACAAGGCCCTACCTGCCATGCACTAACCTACAATTAAAAACCTTCAATTTAGAGAAATTGCGAAATCCAACGCACAACTCTAAACCATGAACCATCACGTGACTGAAGACTCCGCTCACTTGACAACAGGTGCTTGTACACCGCCGATATCTTCTTGTTATCTCCGTCCCCATCGTCGTGGCCCTCCTCATCTTCTTGATGCTCATCGTCACTATACTAACCATCACAGTCCTTACTATCCCCACCTGCTACACCTGCGCCACACTTCTTGACCTGCCTTCACTGCATTATCCTGCTCTCACATTAGACCACATCACTTGGCAGGATACTGTGTGTTCCTTTAGTAATTACCACCGGAGTCGGAACATTTTTGTCGGTTCTGTCGTCCCCTGCGTGGGGGTGCGACTAGCTGGTTGGAGGTGACAGATTTGGGAATAACAAAAGACCCTCAGCGTATACTCTCACAACTCCATGTGCGACACTGAATCACGAAGCTGTGTTGTGCTCACGAGATGTTTTTGACCCTGGAAGTTGAGCGTCACTGTACGTTTCAGTTGGTATCCCTAGTGATGTTTTGACTCGGATCGCACTACATAATGCAGTGGTCTCGGAGCTGAAATTTTAGCCTACTCAAACTCGTACCAACGCAGATGGCCGATTGGTTTGCAGGCCTGCCTGTGAATCATGAGGTCCTGAGTTCAAGACACTCGCTGGTAGCAGGGAGCTTTCAAACACACGTTTTACGCGTGTTGAACTGCGCCGACATCGATGGTCAACTGGGTACTCACAGCTCCGAATGAGGATAACAAGAAGGCAGTTTACTGGGTTATGGGCCGTTACACGCCCGATTTGTTGAGAGACTCACCTCCTCTCCCATGACTAACTTTTGAGGTCTGCACTCACCACTAAGGTGAAAAGGCATAGTGGTGGCCAGCGGAAGCGAAGGCTTGTGTGTTTCTGAACATTCAAGTCATGCCTTTCAAGTGCAGGGCATAGATTAACGGCCGGACATCGGACATTTTCCGGCCATTTTCGGCCACTGACCGGACGTTTTCAATTTCACCGGACATAGTGTCCGGTCAAAAAAGAAAAAAAGAGCAGCGACCGTTCGACCTTTTTATGCAGAATTGGGCTTTCTTCGGAGCTTCGTGCCAAATGCGACTTTCATATCGTACAACTAACACGTCTACACCGTAGCCTCAGGCGTAGACTTCACCAGATTTACTTGATCCGCCTGTAGCAACGCGGTTGCTACAGTCAATTCACACTTTCAACCTTTGGTGTGGACTTCGCACTTGAATCGATGGGTTGAACTGCAGTCTTCAGTGCAGTTGTTCGCTCTTGAGAGGAAGATGTCATCTTTTATTTTTCACTCTTTCACTGACCAGGAATGCAGATCCTGAGTCTTTTAGAATGTCTTGTGGAAAGCGAAAGGGAGATTCAGAGGACTTGCCGCCGGGCAAAAAAGTCCGTGGTGTGAAGGCCGCTTCTTGCGGTAAGTGGATCTCGGACGATGCAGAGCTGACTTCCGCCCGGCTGATTTATGACCAGCAGAAGAATGATCGGCTGTTAGCAGAATGTTTTAAGTGTTCCGTGTGCAACAGAGTCCGCAGTTGTAAAAACTTCAGCGAGGCTTTCATAACCGGATCCAAGAACCTGAGAACATCAGCGTTCAAGGATCATGCTGGAACGGAGATGCATAAACGAGCAATGAATCTTTTCCGCAGGCAAGAGTGTCCCGCTCGAAATGCCCTCGAATTCACTCCAATTGCGAAGGCACTGTGCTGCCGCTATTGCACGACGCAAATTCGAACTGACTTACCTTCTCTGCAAGGAGCATATCGCGTTCGCAAAATTCTTGACTGCAACGCTTTCTTGTACATACATTTGTCGTCAGTAAATACTTCAGTTTCTAATAAAAATAAACTGGCGAATTGTACATAGTAATGTGTGAGATACGTCCACATAATGAGTCATTGTGAAATACTAGTATACTTCAGCACTACTAAAAAAAAAAGAAGAAACACCCTGAAAATGTGTCGTGGAAAATGTCCGGGCATGTCCGGACAGATTTCAAAACGGAAGGACATTTGTCCGAGCTAAATGAAATCCTTAAGCTATGCCCTGAAGTGAGTGTGAATTCAAGCATTCGACACCATTAGCCGAACACAGCCCCTTGCTGTTATGTCAGAGATTACCGGCCCTGATGAGGCATGCCTAATTCACCATTTGCTGTATGGTACAACACTTTCTGCGAAAGTGTGTGCCACTTCAGCGGAGGCGTTTGTTAGCATGCTAGGTACACCACAGGGTGATGAGCTGAGCCCGGTTCTGTTCGTTTTGCTACCTGGAAGCAGCACTAAGGGAGACTCGAAGCAAACTACAAGCACGGCCAGACACTGATGCAGCAATACTACAGGAAACAGGATATGCAGATGACATTTCCTTCTATTCGACTGAGCGACAATGGCTTGCCAACTCCCTACCCGTGATAGCTGACGGCCTGGGTGACTGGTCACTCAACATTAACAGCAGGAAAACAGAATGGCCTCACATCTCTGCCTCCACCACCGAATGGCGAAGATCGAAGCAACTTGGCTCTCTCTTGGGGGAAGAGGAGGACTTGAGCCGACGAACGGACCAAGCATCAACATCGTATGGCCGCATGCATTCGACCTGGATGCGACCTCAACTTGTATCCGAGGAAACCAGGCTTCGTCTCTACAATGCCATCGTCCTGCCAACACTGTTATATAACTGCGAAACCTGGGGACTGACAGAGGCTGCACTGAAAAAGATGAACGCCTTCCATAGACGTCAACTACGGAAATCGTTCGAAATTAGGTATCCCGGCATCATCTCCAACAAAGACCCATATTCCAGAGCACACACACAGCCACTCTCGCACACCGTTGCTGTCCGCCGTTTCCGGATGCTGGGTCATGTTCTAAGGATGCCATCAGACGCCCCACCACAGCAGGTAATGGACGCCCGAAATCGAACCTGGCTACGGCAGTCAAGGCAAGCGCAGCTTCCAGAGACTGAAGACCATAACCGATCTGAGTGGGCTCAGGATGCGCGCTTTGGACAAGTAATCATGGAGGGAACTCTCAGCCTGAGCTGGTTTTGCTCTGGACTGCAATGCACGGGGTAGTGAACCCAGGACAGAAGCAGACCAGGCATCATGACTTTGCACATCTCTCGTTATGCTGCTTCATTATGCGACCTGTTTTATTATTATTATTAAAATTATGACCTGACGTACACCATAAAAATAAGCAATGTAGAGACGACAGGGACTTGATGCTTTTGTAGAAAACAAATATGAGATTGATTATTACCTTCTGTTCACCCGACTGGCTTCCGTATTCTTTCCCGCACGCATCAAAGCTATATTCGTGTTTGTAAAGCTCCCTCTGACTAGCAATAGCTACCTCTATAGAGATATAATGACCATTTGAAACGCATACTATGATAGATTCTGCATTCGCTATCCAGAAACTACATGTATAAGAAAAGCAAGGCAAAATCTGACGTAAGAACACCGCACAGGCCTTACCGGTGTGAAAATGGTAAGAGCTTTTCCCCTTTCCTGGGAAGGAAACCTTGACGTACCACTACGGAAAAGTATTGTATCTGTACATATTCTGCTCGCACTTCACTGCTATGTAAAAATAATATAAGTTAATTGATTCGGACGAAGACTAGATAGACCTGCCTTCATAATTCACTTACATTCCATGAAGAGACGGATGATCGGTATATTGATCGAGTTTGCACTGACACTGCACTTATAGACTATTTTGTTTACCACCAATGGTTTGATGAAGACTCTCACTTGAGATGTCTGCGGACACTGTTGCCTTAGATTAGCTGACAGCAAATCCAGAAGATGCCATCGAAGACAACTTTGTTCCGTTGGGCCACAATGTGCGATGTGGTGCAACGTGTCCACCTTCCCTCCGCGGATAATTTGAATATCTGTTTGACAGGCTGATCCTCCTTGAATGTAGAAGTTCACGTAGCGTACCAACATGTTGCATTGTGAAGCCGGAGAAAACGGTGCATAGACTTGCTGACCATACATCACGTTTCGCCAATGGGCGTGCTGTTTGGTGAGTGAGCTGTAGTACAATACTCCTACAGTATTGATAGAGCTGACCTGCTCCTGGTAGAGACCAGACATTTGACATCGCCTTGTTTTGCATATTTGCGCATCACAGACGAGGAAGCACAGACCTACACAACAGAGATAAATGTTCAAACAATAATAAGAGAATGACGAAACACTGACTTTCAGTTTGAGCACTCTGGCAACGAACGTTCGGGCCTGGTTTAAATCTGGCTTTGGAAAATACATATTTCATTGCTATCAGGTTCGATCTCATTTCCTCTGTGCTGCGCTGACGAGTCCACAAAGGACGTAAAAGCTCTGTCCGAAAATTGAGGATGAAAAAATGTTTATATAAACACAAAGCAAAAGTGGAAATGACAGCAGTCGTGAAAGATTGCATCATGGCGTAAATTTAAAAGGTGCGAATGACAGTAGTAGTGAAAGGCGTGACTTCAAGTCACAAGCACTGGAGCTGGTTGTCTGCTACTTGATTAGGCGATACTTGTGGATGGTTTGAAATTCCGAAGGTAGTACTTAATCTTGTGCCGACACTTTGACACAAGTTCACTCCTCTTGTTGAGAGAGAGAGAGAGGGGAGCTTGGGTGTTAACGCGATTGCTAATTTGTCCGTCCGGCATAGGTTGAACATTTTTGTTTTGTTGCTGTAGGTCATTGCTCTGCGGTGTACTGCCCATTGAATGCTGAATGCCTTCCCTTCATCCTTCTTGGCCCAGAAGTACGGCGGTAGGCGGGTCTCCTTCTCCTGTTGTCCTAGGGGGAATGATGATTGGTGGGTATAATGGAGTTATTTGAATGTTGTTGTTCGTAATTCAGTAGACTCTTGCTTTCTGCAACTGTGGTTACTCTTTGTTATAGACAGTGCTCTCCGTTAGGCACGCTCCGTCCAGTGGACATAATTCTTTCGTCCGACAGTTACAAGTCCTGGTGTCGTTGTTACCTATTCTTATTATCATTATTATATATTCTTCTTTTACTAGGGAACTCCCAACAGGCGTCAGCCTTTTTTCACAGGGAACTCTCAGTTGGCTTGTTTCTTGGGTCGTAGGATAGTGTTAATTGTGGTGTTTGACGATGGTGGCCATATTCTACAAGCAGGTACGTAGCTAATCTTTAACAAGTTGCGGTTGAAGATTTTGATGAGACTTGAGCTTTTAGAGAAGTGTTTGGCCACTAGCTGCAGGAAGCGATGTCCGACGTCGGTGGCGGCGTTCTTCCTAAACGGTAGATAGAACCATATTATGCCCCGGTGGCGATCCCTTTTCTTCTTCCTTTTTGGCTCGTTCGTTGTACGCTCGTCAAATCACTGTACGTTCTCCCCGTATCCACTCTGTCTCAGTGCGTCACTGTAGGCCGGTGTCGCATCTCTGAACATGTTTTCATCGTTGGAAATATCTGTGAGTCTTCTGCTCATCGATGCAGACAGATTCTGGATGATTGTAGGTAGCTGGTTTGAGTTCCAGTTAATATTATTCGGGTTGTTGTTCGGTTTCCGGTAAGGAAAGTACTGTCCGGTGATCAGGGTCAATGTCACGTCCAGACAGAAGACTCTCTTTTGGTTTGTGTGTGTCGCTATTTTTTTCCTGTCAAGCCTTTATGTTCAATCTTGTCCTTCAAAAAATTAGAAATTGCGCCAGTACCCAAGCACCTATCCCTCAACGAGATGAGTTAAATAACGCCAAATTGTGGCCACAGAAATAAACACTACCTTCGGAACTTCAAACCCTCCACAGCCATACAGCTCCAGTGCTTGTCACTTGAAGTGATACAGTTCACCACTGCTGTCATTCGCACCTTTTAAATTTACGCCATGATGCAATCTTTCACCACTGCTGTCATTTACACTTTTTTTCAGAATCCAACAGCCTCTCTTACGGGCAAAATTAAAAGCAACACAATGATGAGAAATCAAGAGGGGTAAAACATTTTTTCACACAATAACGTTATCAACTCTGCTGGCATACGCATACACAGACACAAGATTATAATGATACTTAGTACTTTACCTGCAGGAGTTGCAAAGAAAATTAAATCAATGCACGCTCCGCGTTTGCGAGGACAGCAGACTGATCATTGACACGACGCATTCGCCGGGCACCGCGAAGGCAGGCAGCACTGGCACGCAGGAGACCAAAACCGAGGGGACAACGCAGAAACGCCATTGCGTATGGCTCTCCTGTTTTCTCTGCAGACAGAGCAGCAACTCGCTTGAGATGATTTACCCTCTATAGACCCAGGTGTCTCGTTATTTTCTGATGATACAACCCTAATGTCAGCATCCTCGTCCTCAGCGTGTCGGCTCAGATATGCAGTGTCCTACGCTGGATGCAAACATGGCGACTTAGACCCAACCTGACTAAAACCGAAATAATGTTCCTTCCCCCAATCTCATCCATGTCACTTTTACACCATCCTGATTTCCCAGAACCCAAAAAGGTGGTTTCCAACCATAAATACCTGGGAATAATGCTTGATGATCGTCTCTCTTGGTCTTTCCATATTGATGCTCTTTGCAGCCGTTCAAGCTCTGCCCTAGGTGTTATACGTCCCCATTGTTTCCATCTTCCTTTCAAATGTAAAATTTTGTTTTACAAACTGTACATCCTGCCTCTTTTCCTGTACGCTGCTGTTAGCTGGTGTGGCTTGTCCTCGGTTCTCGCTGAGCATCTCGAAATCCACCATAGAAAACTTCTTCGTATCCTGTTTAGTCAACCCCCTCTCTACTCTTCTGCTTCCCTGTATGTCCTTGCAAATGCTTGCCCGCTGTCGACCCACCGTCAAAAATTAATTTGCACTTTTACTCACAAATTTAAACTAGGTCTACATCCTCCTCATCTTAACATGTATAACTGATTCCGAATCACAGATGGCTCCCAGACAAGATGCTCTGTTGCCCTCTCCTTGGCTAAAACGTCCTCCCTTGTACGCTCTCCACTCTTTGTTGCTTACTCTGCTTGGCTTGAGCTGCCCGCTCCTACGCGCAATGCCAGTACCCTGGGCGCATTTAAATCTGCTCACTAGATTCACCATCACCTGTCCCTCCCATGCTTCTCCGTCTTGACCATTACTTTTCTTTTTTTATTCACAATGGTTGGTTAACACCCACATCTCCCGTACTGGCTGATTTTCTTCTCATGCCATGAGGTGTTGTCTATAATAATAATAATAATAAGAGCGGAAGCAGCTCGACTGGGTCCACCTGTGGGTGAGAATACGGCTGGTACGAAGGAGGCTCGCTCAACTTCTTGCACCCTCTGACCATACCTGCGACGCTTCTCGCGCTCGTGGCTTTGATAGCGAGCAGCGAGAGAAGAACAACGGTTCGAAGGAGCGAATGGGTTAAACACCCGTATATCAAGATAAACGTGTTCAAACCGTCCTTTCCAAACGCCACTCGCTGCCACATCCAGACGGGCCTGATAGTGGACGGTGTCCGGTAGCGGAAAAGCTCGCCGGTGAGGGGTTGGAGATGAGGCTCTACTTCTACGCTGTGTGCCACCTTCTTCAGTTGGCCAGCGATGATGTCCCGTACCTCATTATGGCGGAGCGTCAGGAAACCACCAGTGGGGCAAGAGAGAGAGAGCATGCTCAACAGAGAAGGTGGCACCCCAGACACAAGTAGAAGGGAGTCATTTACACTTTAGCTTTGTGGTTATAAACCAGTATTCAGATTTACTCTTCACTGTTTTCTGATGATCGCTTATTGCATGAAACTCGGCATAAAAACACCTTTGTGACCCTGTTATTATTGGTTGAACTAGATCTGTCTTCCGGAATTGAGCACTATATTTGACAGCCTGGAACCTCTCTGTTTAAAAGAGATAAATGTGTATATAGATTTTTCGTTTGTCCGTCAGTTCACTACACGATTTCTACACATCTGAATTCTTAATACTGGTATGATAGGTAGTCACATGATTTAAGGGTTGCATAGCCTCTCACATCCACTACAGAGTCGGAGCTCCTTTTAAGGTAGCAGTACTGGAATATGCCATTCGCAAATACACACAACTAAAATCGGGTATTACTTCGGTGTCTGTGGATCTTTTCCCACAAAACTTTGAGCACAGATTCATGATTCACGCCACCACCTAATAAAAGTACTACCTTGAACTTATTTACTTCGCATCGTCCCAAAAGTTCACTGCACTGGAGAGTAAAAAAATGCCGTCATCTCAGATTTTTGGTACATGCTAGCAGCAACATAATATCAGCTGAAGTGTTAAAAATGCATCATAAGCGACAGTCTACAATAGTAGCAGATGCTGAATAGAACAGATTGGAGATAGGACACAAATAGCACCACCCAGTCAACATCATCTGTGAAGACGCCCGTCACCGTCGAAAAAGATTATTACTACTGAGGCAGCTAACATCCGCCAAACAAAAAACTATGGCTTTATAAATATATTCAGCATCTGGGAAATTTTCCACTGATCAATCTACATATAAGGTTTATTGGGCTGTGATGAGCCAGTCTGGAGATATAGTGTACCAAAGTTTGGTCGGAAGGCCAAAAAACACTAACTTTTGGCACTCTGAAAACCCTCCAGCAATGTATGTGACTACCTCTGCTTGCTGTATCGTGTCAGCAAATCCCTTTCGAATGGCTCTTCTTCTCTTCCTGGCTGACTTTTGCTCCTCACTGGACCTTCTCCTCCTGTGATACTGCTTCTCTTCATCCAACTTGAGAAGACCAGAGCTGGCAAGTGAAACTTAGAGCAGCTCATCATTTCCAGCACAGCCGAAAACATTTCCATTGTTCGTACTCAGCATTAGAAATCTTTCTTGCTTGCCATCTGTTCTTCCAAGTTTCACATCCACTGCAGAGTTTTGATAGCACCTCCGCGTCCAGAACCTTTTCTGTCTCATGGGACACAACAGTTGGCATACCAAACATTGATGAGAATCCGCGCTTCATCCACGTTCCATCGGTGCTAACTGCAACATGCTCCGGGTGGGAATGCTGTTCTGTTGTTCGCCGAACAAGAAGACGCTGTGCAGCACTCTTCATGCTGTCCCTAGCATCAGTTTCCACAGCAGTGTGTAGTGCATCGCTGTGCCCAGAATTGCTAACAGGAGGCGGCATATCCAATATCCCACAGAT